TTTATTTGATTTATAGCCTGCCTATCTGGGCGACTCATCCGCTTGATGGCACATGGTTATTATTATAATATGTAGCCTGCATAATTAAATAGTAAACTGCCCCAAGAGTGCTTTAAGCCAGAACACTTTTTTAAAATTATAATGTTAGCTCAGACTGAAAGGCTGTCTAACCTAGCAGTTTACTCACATGGTGTGTGTTTAATCGTTTAGTCATGTCCGACTCTTCGTGACCCCATGGACCAGAGCACGCCAGGTCCTCCTGTCTTCCACTGCCTCCCGGAGTTGTGTCAAATTCATGTTGGTTGCTTCGATGACACTGTTCAACCATCTCATCCTCTGTCGTCCCCTTCTCCTCTTGCCCTCACACTTTCCTAACATCAAGGTCTTTTCCAGGGAGTCTTCTCTTCTCATGAGATGGCCAAAGTATTGAAGCCTCAGCTTCAGGATCTGTCCTTCCAGTGAACACTCAAGGTTAATTTCCTTTAGAATTGATAGGTTTGTTCTCCTTGCAGTCCAGAGGACTCTCGAGAGTCTCCTCCAGAACCACAATTCAAAGGCATCAATTCTTCGGTGGTCAGCTTTCTTTATGGTCCAGCTCTCCCATACATCACTACAGGGAAAACCATAGCTTTGACTATGCCGAGTTTTGTTGGCAAGGTGATGTCTCTGCTTTTTAAGAGACAGCCAACCTGTTGCTCAGGGAAGCTCATAAAACAGGACATGAGCACAACGGTACCCCACACACACACTGTTTCTGCTTCTCAGCAGCTGATACAAAGGGGCATACTGCCTGTAGTACTGAAGCTTATATCCACCATGATGAAATTCATTCAGGTCCACCTCTGTAGAAGGACACAACTGCCTTTAATTCCTTATGCCTCCCCTGTCCCAATTTAAAAAACTAAACACAAAACACATTCTTGGCTTCCAGATGGTCAGTCTTTGAAGGCTAGTGTGTAGTGGATAGAGTGTTGGAGTAGTTTCAGGATACCTCAGTTCAAATCCTGGCTTGGCTGTAGAAACTCACTGAGAGGTGACAATGCTAAATCACTGTTAACGTCACCAAAAGTTGGAAACAACTTGATAGTTCATGACTCAACAAGGCCAACAATTGGTGCCAGTTTTTTTAAGAAATAAAATTTTGGGATGCCAAGGAGCCGGGGGCTATTTATAAGGGCTCTGAGGGCCCTTTGCTCAATATTGCTTAAAGTGAGGGTCTCATGGACCAGGAGAGCAAGGCTGACAGGAAAAGCATGCCTTCCGTCTCCCAGGGAGCACATCCAATGGACAGTGAAGAATTATAAAGAATTATGTAAGGAAATTCCTTTTTCCTGTCAGAAATAATATTCAGCTTCAACTACAGGTTTTTCTGAGTCTGCAGAACAGAAGCAAAAATGCCTTGGTTCCTTTTTCCAGCATTCCTCTGAATCTAACGCATTCATGTGCCATCCGTTGTTCATATCAGGTTATGTTTTTAATTCTCAGTTAGAAGTATTTGTGCATGTTCCATAAAGTATGTATCTATTTACATGTTTCTGAATGAGCATATAGTCTACATATTTCCCACAGTGAGTGTGTCAGTATGTATATTCCAATCATACACATTTTTGGCCATTCATTCTTTTACAAAATGTACTCATGGTTTTACATTTTATATTTCATTTCCTCAAAATGTACTGCAACCCTCACAAACGTGCACATTACTGAGGGAACGAGCACTTAGGGAAGAGTGAAGTACTGTATGTAATTTTGGTGATAATTGTGAAAACACCCAAATTCTCTTTCACCACTGCTACATGCTTTCAGGCAGGGTGAGAGGGTCAACCCAGGCAGGAGATACAGGGACCAGAAAGTACCCAGTATATCGTTTGAGGCTTCCCTTCTCTAGGGAGACAACTCTGTGAACAACTCTGTGACCTGACATGCACACCCCTAACCTACCCTGCTACCTTTAGATATGGTGGAGGATGCTGTTCAAACACCAGGGTTCACTTAAAATGATTTAACACAATTTCTATAAGCTGCAGTCTAGTGAAGGGGGCCTACATCTTGTCCTTAGGCTTCAAAATGGCTTAGGCTGGTCTGGTGAAGAGTTGAAGGGAAGCATGCTCTGGACAGAGGGAGTCATAAGCTCTTGGACTTCGTGAATTTAAGGTTTAAGTTTATGTGTGTTTGTATGAATTATTAGGACTTACGGGAAGCCATCTTAAGGATCAGTTGATTGAAATATCAGATTAAAATAAGTATTTGCAATTTTGTATTGGCTGTAGCATACCACCCTAGGATTGTAGAGTTGGAAGGGTGCCCAGGGTTCATTTAGTCCAATTTCCTGCTAATGCAGAAACTAATGCTTGTGATCTTTCCTTCCTGTGCGGTTACCTCCTTATAGATCAGGAGGCCAGAACTAAATAACACAAAGGTGTCAAGATTGACTTCAGGTAATAGAAGTCTACCCATGCTCTGGGTATTTTTTATTGAAAAAAAAATAAAAATAAAATCCCACCGACATTCTTTCAATTAGGGTATAACTATCTTGCTGGATAGTTCGGTAGCTTAGGTATTTGGCTGCAGAGCCAGAGGTTGACAGTTTGATTCCCCACTGTGCCTCTTGGGGAAAAGCCAACCTGTGTAGCCATGGGCAAGCTGCACAGTCCCAGGATGCCCCCAGAAGGAGGAGAAGGGAATGGTAAACCATTTTTGTGTATTCTCTACCTAGAAAACTCTGGGCACGGCTGCCGTTAAGTCAGAATTGATTTGACAGCATGCAATTAATATTATTATTAGATTGCTCACCACTGAAGTTGGTCAATTTTTCCTCTAAAAAAAGGACTCAATGTTGTTCCAGTGCAGCCTCTATTCAATTCCCCATTCCGCCATGGAAACACATGGGCCTGTACAACTGGTAAAACCACTCCTTGAATATTGCCCTTACTTTTTAGGTTCACTGTAATTCAGTTCTGACTTAATGACACATTTGGTTCCAAAGAGCTCTTCATTTTCTGGCATTGGGAGCAGTCATGGGAAATTACTAGTTTTGGACGACAGTTCCTAGAATTCTGGGAGCTGTGGTGCAGAGAAGTTAACTTTTTACAATCTGAAAAAAAATGTAACAAACTCTATTCCTGTTGAGCTTCTCTTTCCTTTTTCAATTGGCAGGTCCATAACACGCTCCTATTACCGAAATTCAGTGGGAGGTTTGCTGGTATTTGACATCACCAACCGGTCTTCTTTTGAAAATGTGTACAATTGGCTGGATGAAGGCAAAATGCACGTAGAGCCCTTCCAAATCGTGTTCATCTTGGTGGGTCACAAGTGCGACTTGGAGGCAGAGCGTCAGGTGGGAAGAGAAGAAGCCGAAGAACTGGCCTCCAACTGTGGCATGAAATACATAGAAACCTCTGCCAAGGATGCCACCAATGTTGAAGAGACCTTTACCATCCTCACCAAAGATATCTACGAACTTGTGAAGAAAGGAGAGATTTCGATGCGGGATGGATGGGAAGGGGTGAAAAGTGGTTTCGTTCCAAATGTTGTCCATTCCTCAGAAGAGGCTGCCTCCCTTGGAGACCACTGCCCCTGCTAAACCGCTTGCAAAAAAGCCATGGAAGGTAACTGGGTGTTTGGATATTAAGGCCAATACATACAAAAGGGTGTTTATGAAGGTGAATCATAGATCATGGATAAAGTGATGTATGACTTCTAAGCTGTCTGTTGCTCCTGTGTCGGCCACACAGCTCCTCGAAGGATCTTGAGAATCACAGCTTTCCATTTAAAAGCAAAGAAAGCTTCTACTGCTTAAACATGGGATGGCAAAGATAGTGAAAACAAGGAGGCAGATTCAAACAGAAGTCTGAATTCTTTGTTTCTCAACTTTTAAGGGATTTTTAAAATTACATTCAGATTTTGTAAAGGCTGACTCAGGTTTATTCAACCTTTGTTGTAAATAACTTTTGAGAATGCTGAAACTACGAATGTTATGTGACAAGCAGTGTGTCCACCATCTATGCTTTGCATGAAAATATTATGCAAATTACAGGAATTGCATGCAGCAGAGACCATGCAGTTCTGTGAAGATTCTTGGGCTTTGTTATATTTTCAGTGAGGTCCTCAGCACTAATCATGTTACATAGGCCTACATGGAACACTGACTATGAGATCATAATGATCCACTAATATCACAAAATGGTAACTAAATGTTGTATTTTGCTTATTTGTCCCACATTTTTATTGATTTAATTTAATTTAATTTCTCCAGTGTTCCAGTTAATCCCCTTGCTGTAAAAAGAATGTTCCCTTTCATTACTCCAAATGGAGTCTCACAGTGCTGTCCAAGTTTGGATGGTGAATAACTTTCAGAGTTGTTGACTGGAAAAAGAAAATTTTCCTCACACTGCTGCCCAGGGAACTTTTCTGTTGTACTATATAGCTCCAGCTACAAATCTAAGACTTTGATGGTAAATCTCTGAGTCCCAACAGGCAGAGATCTATTCAATCAGTGGGATGTTGTTAATCAACACTTATGTAAGATGCATTGATTCAAGAGGTCTACTGAATTTGGGACCAGCAATTTCATAAATTATAATTCTGGATGACTGGAAATGCATTCCACCTTAATTGTAAGTCCAGGATCCCTAATATCAAGTCTGAATAATCAATCCTATCCTCCTCTGCCTTCTGTTTTCTCTCATTCTAAAGTTTTCCAAACAACTGATGAGTGTATTTCAAAACTGTTCCCCACAGACTTGACCAGTAAACTCCCAGTCTGCCTGATTTCTAGTTTTGGACAGACCAGATTTCTAGAACCTAGCCCCACTGGCTGGGGATGATGGGAGCTGAACTCCAGTACGTCTGGAGCACACCAGCTTGGGAAGGCTGCTTTAGACACTCTCCCCTCTCCTCTGAGTTTGGAAATATTATTTTGTTGGATAGCAGCTCCCAGAATCCCCATCTAGCATAGCCAGTGGTAATGATGATGATAATAAGATGACAGAGGTATGAGGTTTTAAAAAAAGTAATATTTAAGAACTCTGCCTTTATCTTTATGGGATCTGATACCATCCACATTCTGTAAGCTCCCCATGTCCTTCAACATAGCTTTTGTTGTGTCAGTTTTTAAATATCTTTTTTTTTCAATTCACCAGTTTGCATACTTATAACTATACAGGCTACATACCCTCTAATTTGTTATTCCTCTCGCACATGTGACTCTGCCCCCCGAGTGGCATTCCATCACAACCGGAACTGAACGGGCTGCGTGGCAGAGGAGGAAAGTTTTGCGGAGGGGGGTTGAGTCGCACACATGCCTTCGAGGGAACCTTGTGTTCGGGAGGCTGCCCAGTTTATTTATTTATTTATTTATTTATTTAATTTATACCCCGCCTATCTGGTCGGTGAGGACCACTCTAGGCGGCTATGTAAAACCACTTTCTTTTCTTTTTTGTTTGAGGAGGGGAGCCCTGTTTCACTTCTAAAACATCACATCCATTCACTGTTAGATGAAATTACATACACTATATGCATATGCTGTGGTGGGTTGTGAACCACATGGAGGGAAATGCCTCATCCCAAAATGGTGGGAGAGATCTCTCTTGACCCACAAGCCACTTATATGTCTATTATCAGCAAAAAAAAAAAAATGTTAAGCTGCAAGATATTTTCTGTACTGCTCCTATTACATTTTTTATTATATGCTTTTTAGACTTCACATGGGGGGAATTAAAACTAAAGTATAGTACAGAATACTTACTCTGCATGATCCCCCACTTTGATACAGTTGACTTTGCTTCTGAGAAACTGGAACATGTTGGGATTGAGACCCCCATTGATTCAGTGGGCCTACGCTCATCCAGTTTAATATGCTAAGCAACAGGATTTTGGTCACTGAATTCAAGGATTCCCTTGAGACCCCCATTGATTCAGTGGGCCTACAGTACGCTCATCCAGTTCAATATGCTAAGCAACAGGATTTTGGTCACTGAATTCAAGGATTCCCCTTTAAGCCAGACTCAGTCCAAATCCAACTCACTGAAGAGTTCTGCCATGTTCCTTCATCTCTTGTGGGGATCGACAGCATGTGCAGAGATCTCCCATCTATAAAAGCCTTTTCCTACTTGTAGTGCAGAGGTGACTCCATACACGTATTGAAACACTCAGACATCCACACCGATGAGCCCTATTTACACTGTAGCATATACAGTATAGGACTCATAATCTGTGCCAAGTTCTCTTCTTACTCTTTTTCTCTCCTATTTTGCTCACTTTGAAATAAAGAATATTGCAAGCAAACGGGAAGCATTTGCTCCATTGGTAAATATTTTTGATATTTTCTGTATCAAGAAGCTTTATTAAAGATGAACAAAATGTGATAAACCTTATATTTCTGAATCTTTAAAAGTACATGGAAGAAACACAGCTAGGAGAACGCTCCTGGGCTCAGTATTCTGTATAACAAAAATACACTGTTGATGGTTTCAATACAAAATAGGTTTCCTTGTTGCCGGTGGTGTAAGTAAAGTATTTGATTTGTATAATAAGTAAAAATGTAAAGCCAAATCCTTCTTGGATGCACACTATAATGCGGTAAGGGGGTCTGAGTGTGTCAGACTGAAAGCAATGTCGTCAGGAGACTAAACTCCCATTATGATCCTGCACTCCTACCAGGGTCACAGCCGAGGTAGCAGATTTAGTGGCATCCACCCTCTTCATGAGTAACAGCCACATCAGTAAAAGAGAATGAATTGTTCCGGCGGTGATGGGGTGGAGAGGTTTCTGGAGGACAGTTATTGGGCAACAGCAGTACCTGGCAGAGGATCTTTGATGGAAAATGGAAGTGTCACACTAACTTTTGTTAGTATTGCACAGAAGAAGGCAATGGCAAACCACCACTGAACCGTTCTTACCTTGAGAAATCTATGATGAGACAGTCCAAAATGAAACAATATTGCTGGAACATGAGACTCCCAGGTCAGAAAGCAGTAAACAGGCAACTAAGGAAGAGCAAAGGACAAGTACAAATAGCACTGTTGCTAATGATGCAACTAGATTAAAGCTGAAATTAAGTCTATTGGTTGATGCGCATAGGGGTGAAAGGAAAGTCCAGTGCTGCACAACACAACTGGAACATGGAATGTGAGAAGTATGAATCAAAGTAAAGTGTAAACTGTAAAGCAAGGAATGGAATGTTTAAATGTAGCAGTGTTTAGTGTCAGTAAACTAAAGTAGACTGGAACAGGATATTTTCAGTCAGACAACTACGAAGTCCTGCTCTGAAAATGACAAATTCAGAAGAAATGGAATGGCTCTAATATTGAGGCAAGATGTAGCACAGGTATTTAGGGACTATAAAGTAATGTCTGACTGAATGTCTGACTCATCAGACTCCTCCATCAACATAACAATCATTCAAGTCTATGCTCCAGCTACGTATGCTGAAAGCTTTTATGTAGCATTCAGGAAGGAACTGATAACATCAAAGCAAGACATGCTTATAAACATAGGTGACTGGAGCACAAAAGTAGAAAAAATAGATCCAAAAGTCGCTGGAAAACTTGGCTTAGGGGACAGAAATGAAGCAGAAGAATGACTCAGAGTTCTGTGAAGCCAACAATCTGTTTATCATAAATGCATGTTTCAAGCAACCAAACAAATAACTGTATATGTGGACATCACCAGATGGCCAATATAGAAATCAAAGAGACTACATAATTGTAGTAGGTGGAAAAGCTGTATGCTCTCTGTCAAAACAAGACCAGGAGCAGATTGTGTTTCTGATCATGAACTGTTGATATCAAACATTAAAGTAATGCTGAAGAAGAGCACTAAAAGATTCTTAGTGCCAAAATATAACTCAACATTCCTGATAAAGTTAAAGTACACATAAAGAACAGATTTGTATTATTAAACTCAGTTGACTGAGAACCAGAAGAATTATGGATTGAAACCAGGTACTGTATATTATTATGGAAAAGAAAAAACCCTAGATGGATGACAGAAGAAACTTACATTATTAAGGGCAGGCAAGAAGCAAAAGTAAAAGGTGACAAAGGTAGAGTGAGAATCCTGAATGTTGTCAGTAATTGTCATCTAGAAACACACTGAACTATTATAATGGCCAGTGCAAAGAAATAGAAGAGAACAACAGAAGATGAAAAACAAGAAATTTCTTCTAGAAGATCCAAGTGAAATTTAAACCTAGATTAGCAATGCTGACAGACTAACAGGGAAGCACACTATCTGACTAGAGGAAAATAAAGGTGGGAACAGTATACTGAAGACCTATACAGAACAGATAAAAGGTATGAAAGCTGGACAGTGAAGAAATCTGACAAGAAACAATGATTATTGGAAATATGGTGCTGGGGAAGAGATTTGTGGATACTCTGGAACACCAGGAAGACAAACAAGTGGAAGTTAACTGCTGGCCAGTGAAAAGGGTGCCCGTCCTACAACAACTCAAGCCTGAAATATCTCTAGAAGCACAAATGACTAAACTAAGGCTGTCATACTTTGGGCACATCATGAGAAGGTAAGATTCTCTGCAAAAAGCAATAAAGCTAGGAAAAGTTGAGGGCAGGAGAAAGAGAGGAAGCCCAAATAGTAGATTGACTGACTCTGTGAGCGGCCCCAGCCGCTCTATCCATGATGAGGAAGCAAGTTCTGGTGTTCAGTTAAGCTTTACTGGACTTAGCATACAAAAGAAAGGAAAGAAAAACGGTGTCTCTGTAGCCCTTTGCAGGACGGGGCTTCTAGCTCCAAGCAGCAGGGATGGAATTGGTAGCTTTCAGGGCTGAGGGAATATTCTGTCTCTGCCCCCAGCTCTGAGGGAGTTACTCCACTCCCGTGGCAGCTTGTCTTCTCTGCCCCCAGCTCTGAGGGAGTTACTCTACTTCCGTGGCAGCTTGTCGTGGCTGAAAAGTCCTGGCTGTTAAACAGTCTGCTAACCAAGTCCCTCAGCACGGCGTCCAGCAAGCGGAGGAGACTGTGCAGCACCGGCTGTTCCTGGGAGCTTCTTTCCTTCAGCCTTCAGTTGAGCCCACCATCCTCTGGAGATACCAGTCTCTTAAAAGCTTCTTTCAGCGTCTCCCCTGGCAGATTATTTTCTCTCTTCTCCAAAGGTGGCAGAAACTCCCAGGCATCCTCCCAAATGTCCGCCACCCCGTCTCCTTGCTCACTCGCCTCTATATCTACCGCAGCTACAGCTGTTTCCCTGGGTGAGGGTTTGGGCCTCCACCCTTCTCTGCCTCAAGTGTTTCCTTCAAGGCCAACAACCCTTTTGCCATTGCTGAGGGGGCCTGCCCGTGCTGGCACTTAGCTCCTTTCCCCCCAGCCAGCTTTAGCTGGCTCTCACACTCCATCAAGAAACTTGAGTTTACAAAAGCTGAGCAGGGATGTTGAGGACAGAACATTTTAGAGATCTGTTCTCAAAGGCTTTCACGGCCGGGATCCAATGGTTGTTCTGTGTTTTTCAGGCTGTTTGGCCGTGTTCTGGACGTTTTTCTTCCTAACAAGAAAACAAAACAACAACAACAAAAAACACCCTGATCACAGGAAACATCAAATCTCCTGAGAAGAACAAAAACCCTGATCCCACAGTTACAAATACAGTACTCAACAATCCCATACACAACACCAGAACACAGACAGAATTCTAGCTCCTGTCCTCTGAAGATGCCCGGCCACAGAGACTGGCAAAACGTTAGCAAGAAAAACCTCTAGAACACGGCCAAACAGCCTGGAAAACCCACAACAACCATTTTGGAGATACTTATTCATAGAGTCACCATAAGTCAAAAGGTCTACTTTAGATGTGGTGAACAACTGGATTTCATCTAATTTATATATATTTAAGGTAAAGGTTCTCCTTGACATTTAGTCGAGTTGTGTGCAACTCTAGGGAACAGTGCTCATCTTCGTTTCCAGACCGCAGAGCCAGCATTTGTCCACAGACAGTTCCCATGGTCACATGGCCAACGTGACTAGACACGGAACAACATTACCTTCCCACCCTGGTGGTACCTATTTATGTACTTGCATTGTTACATGCTTTTAAACTGCTAGGTTGGCAGGAGCTAGGACAACCTGTATATAGAGAAGGTTTGCAATGCAGTACAGGATGTCCAGGAGGGAGGTCATGTAAAATGGCTTGAAAGGAAAAAGACCACAGGGAATACATACATGCTGTCCTAGCAGCAATCTTGACAAGTTTCATAAATATATAGCTCAATTGCAGCAGAGCAACTGGTATTTGGGAACAGGTCCTTATCCAGCACCAAGGTGTGTTATTTAACTGCTCTGGTTTTCCTTCCAAAGAAATTTGGAAACTGTAGTTCAACAAGTGAACTAAGAGTCAAGAAATGCCCTTGTCTCCCCTTGCATCACAGCCCTCCGGGTTCCCTGAAAAAAAGGGGGGGATAAGAACAGTACTGTAGGATAGAGACTCCACCTGCCAGTCCCTTCTACCCTTGTGGTAGAATGGCAAGGGTAGCCCTTTATTTGTGGTGGTGGACTACAATTCCCATGATCCCTCGCCCCACGGGTTCTGCGGGCTCAGCCTCATGGGGATTGTAGTCGTTCCCCACACCTGGAAAGCTACAATTGCCCATCCCTTGCCCCTGCACAGAAGGTTATCGGCCCATTGTTACAGTACCCTCTGGCCGGGTCGGGTGGCTAGGATGCTGCTGTGGGAGGACATGAGCAACGCGGCCTCCGCTCGGCAGAGGCCGCTGTAGGCTGAAGCCGCGCCGCTCTCTTCCTTCAGGCAACGGGCTATCCGGCTCCTCGGCGCTGTATCATATGGGCTTGCCCAGCCCCTCGCGCGGAGCCGGGCCGCCACTACTGGTGCCGCCGCCACGACCAGTGCCGGGAGTCTCCTCTGGTGGAGTTGGCGGTGCCATGAGGCGCTAAGAGCGGGGGGGGGCAGGAAGGCGAGGCGGAAGAGGCCCAAGGGAGCTGCCGACCGGCGGACGAAAAGACCGGAACGGAGGGTGTCGAGCCGAAGCCGAGCCGGACGGTTCCGTCCCGTGCGTCGCTCCTGAGACCATGTAAAAACGAGGCAGGCTCCATCCCGAGGAGGGGGAAAACAGGCGCCGTCGCCGGCCTGGGAGGGCCCCGCCGTGCCTGGGCTTGTGTGTCCGTGCGCGCCCCAGAGAGAGAGAGTGTGTTGAAGAGGGGAGGGGGGAACATGGCGACGTCTAATCTGTTAAAGGTGAGAGAGGCCACCCCCACCCACCCCCGGCTGGGCCAGCCCGATTGCCCGAGGAAACCTTGGGGGGGGGGTTGGGTGATCTGTGGGGAGGAGCTGCCGTGAGGAGGAGGAGGGAGAACCGGAGCTAACCGATAGTAGGTGGGAATTATAAGGGGAGGTCGTGTACTGTGTGGTGAGGGAGGCTGGCTGGTTGGCCGGTTAGGATCTGCCTGCGTTAGGGTTAGGTTATAATAATAAAAAAATGGTTTAGGAAGAGAATTCGAGGTTTCCACACCGAAACCTTAAAGAGTGTTCGGAACTCTTAACAGACTGACTGACCAAAAACAGTTTGTATATGACAGGCAAGAAAAGCAGGGCGTCCTGTGGCAGTATTAGATAAGAAATGGAAAGGCTGGGGATGAGAAAAAATATCTTAAACTGTGCAAAGAGGTCAAAGGGGAGCAGGAACAAGAAATTTGTATTTTTCAGGGAATTGGACATGGTACTTAAACTGTTGGTGTGCATGAAGGAATGTGCATATGTAGCAGTGTGCTGAGGTTTGAGTCGGATAAATCTTTTGAGACAGAAATAAAGAAATCTGAAATTACTAGCAAATGCTGTGCAAACATTAAGTTAATACGTTGTATCTGGGTATTGTGATCTTTTTGTGTTTAACCTTTCTTCTTTGTAATAGGTTATATATAAGAGGTTCATATCATTATGTTAGAAATATTTTACAATGTAAAACGTGTAATAGAAGAAATAAAATTCCTGGACATTGAACTTATACTGAAAATAAACAGTGAGTTTTCATCCAAAAGCATAGAAAGCTGCCTTAAGTCCAACCTTTGAACCAGCTACCTCAATGCTGTCCACACTGGCAGTTCATTAGGGTCTGAAACAGTTGTCTTTCCTGCTACACCAGGGATCGCCTACATTCAAAGAATGTGTTCTACAAGTACAACAGTTTTTACCCACCACTAAACAAATCAGTATTTTTTCCATTTTTCTATGCTAATGAGGTCTGCATGTCTGCACAACAGAAAAAGCCTAAAATGTATAATTGTGTTCTCTCAATGTTGAGAGAAGATAATTTGCATTGTTGTCCACCTGCTTGTTCCTCATTGACTACATTTTTGAAAAGTGTGTCTGTCTTAAATCTAAAGACAAAGCATGTGCCTTGGAAAGCTGACCTGTAGAACATATTTACATTGATAAGGAATAAAGTTTGATAAAAGATCAGTAGGTGGGATGTTGCAGTGATTGGCCTAGTAATAGACAGTACAATATCAAATGATGTATGGTATTGTTTATTTGTTTTAATTTTGTTTTATATTCGGACTGTAAGCCACCCAGAGTAGATTCATTGAGTGGGGCAAAAGCAAGAAAATAAATAAATAAATAAATGGGAGCCTTTATAAATAAGGTTACACAGAAAGTCCTGTGGAGAACTTGATATAGGGAGATGTTGATATATAATCAGAATGGGCTGCCTTGTGTAGTTGACATTTAAATTTTTACTAATCTATCCATGAATTAGGTTCATATGAGAGTTTAAATGTCCTTGTGTGGTTTGAATTTATAGTTATGTATAATCAGAATAAAGCGGTACATCACAGTACATTTATGAATGTACATTTTATTCTTGAAATAATACTTTGAAAACCTTAAAGCTAAGCACAAACTTCCAATTAAGCAGGTTGAAGTAGTTTGTATACAGTTGCTTTTGGAAAGGAACATTTGTCTCGGAAGTATGCAAAGAAATATTTATCAGTGTGGTGGCACTAAACTAAAATGACAAAAGCATGTACATAGTCCTTGATGTCTGTTATCTAGCTATCAAAGTCTAGAAACCTTTTCTAAAATAGATTACTACTTTGTAGCCTATGGGCTTGATCTGCTGAAGTATTTTTATCTGGAGAGTGCTATCATGATGTTTGATTAGGATATACTGTACCTGAAATATTTTCTCACTGCTTCTTTGCATTACAAGTAAAACTTTGTGTGCATTTCATATCTATCTTACTTTACTGCTATCTCAATCACATTCTTATAAGCCAAAGACTTCTAGTAATCCAGTCCATGAGGATTTGTTTCCTGAAAGGGATCCTCAGTACTTTCACTGATTATGAAGACATGCCATCTGGGTGCATGTGCTAGGTGGTGCCAACTTGACCATGTGTAGAAGAGGTGTATGGTCAAGATTCTCAGTCTAACATGTGGAGAATAATATGGTTCTGATGGGTATAAACGATAGCTGCCCTGCTCAGTGGCATTCCTGTTTAGATTGTCTGACAAAAAGACCCAGTGAGTGACTGCCCATACCTTCTGCTTCTACAGTATGTTAGTACTCATGTCCCAGTTTTAATACCATTGAAGGTAAACTCCAAGTATGGCATCGGGGATCTGTAAAAACCTCAGGAGTGCAGGAGGGAAAGAGACAGAAGTTCTGCATATCCATAGACTGTCATTTGGAGGTTTCCTGTTGAGCACTGGGGATTTAGGCACTCAAAACGATTTGAGACTGAGCAGTTCTCCAATGCATTTATTTCATATAAAAANCCCCCCGTTTTAAAGGTGCTTATGATCTTAGACAGGTGCCCTACTCCTCCTCTTTCTGCAAGTGCCATCTCTGGATTTGTTTTCCCATATGCTCAGCTCATTGTTTGTTTGCCGTTGCCAAACATCCAACTTTTGACAGGAGAGAAAAGGGAGTAAAATAAGATTTTTAAAAGAGTTGATTTGAATTGCTTGGTAGATACAACTCTGTTTTTTTTAATTTCTCCTCTTTTGCAACTATTGGGATTTCAGCATTAAAAACAACAGCTAATGTATTTAGATTGTAATGTATTTATGTTTATCTCTCATGTTACATATTTATGACCTAGGTTCCTTGAGCAATAGAATGGCGAAAAGAACACATGAAGCCTAATAAAAAATCCCAGCTTGTTTTTCTGAACATTAACTTTGTCAATGAACCTTGGTGACCTTTCCGAAATACTTTATTTTATCATTTATTGATCGTTGCATTGTATTGTGGCAGACTGTATAGTATTCTGCTGGGTTTTACAGTTGTGAATTATTTTGAGTTTTAAATGAAAGAGTAGTTCAAAAAAATTCAAGTAAAAATAAGGAGCATCATTGAGTGTTCAGCATGCATGGCTCCTAAGGGTGACTGCAGCATAAAATCTGCTCTACTGTTTGACCATTTCTGCTGCCCTTGGTGTGCTTTTTTATTGATTCTACTCTTCTTATTTTTTAATTATTCCCTAACAGTATATTGTTCCCTAATGACTATATTTGCTTTATTGATGTCAACCACCTAGAGTAGTGCCTCACACTAATCAGATATCTATAAATTACCAACCATTTGCCTTCTCACCAGTGCCCTTCTTCCTGGCAAAGACTGTTTTTAGCAGGGAATTATAAGGAAGACTGAGGGTGGTAGAGATGGGGTTGGAAACAAATGGCATTTGCAGAAAGTAGATGCCGTGATTAGATTCTGAAACTTGTCACAGGTAAGTAGCTGAAATTTGGCCTACCTGATAGGCTGCTTTCTAGAATTCTTCCTGGTATTGTTTTGCATTACTGTTGTGTGAAATGAGGCTCTGTGGGACTGTTAAGATGGGTGGGTAAGAAAGCATTTTACCATTATATGCCCTAAACATTCTCAATATTAGTAAATGCCAGACAATCTGTTCAAACTGTCTGAAAATTTGTCAGAGATGTTAAATATGCCAAATTAATGTTTGGAGAGATGTGTTGAAAAAGCTGTGGTCAAATTATTTCTGCCTGGGACCATTTTTTTTCCTCCTCAACAGTGTCCACATTTTCCCTTATCTGTTTAAGTGCATCTCAGAAAGTGAGGAATTGCAGAGCCCTTTCTTTTCTAATTTGTGAGGATTCATTGTCTCCATGAAAGTGCTGGTTTCTGAAGTCCCTGTGTAAGTTAGTCAGTTAAAGGCAGGACTTGCAAGACATAGTACATGTATAACTTGACTCTTCCAGTGTGGACAGCCCTAAATAAAAAAGGCTGCTGCCAAACTGAGCAAGATGAAGACAGATTGTAGTTTCTATGAAACAAATAAGTTGTGAGGGGACAGGATCTACTCTTTGTCTGTGCGTATGGCTTTCTTGAAGTAGTACTGTACTTGAGGAAGGGGATTGGAAGTGAAAGGCTAAAGAGAAAGTACAGTCCTTTATTTACAATTAAATGCATGATGCGGAAGTACTTTTGCAAGAGTACTTCCGCATCATGCATTTAATTGTAAATAAAGGACTGCTTGAATTGGTGCAATTGTGCAATTTGGGGTTTGTTTTTAGTGCTTTCTGACTTGCATCTGACTCTGTTTGTACCATGCTTCAGTACATGCTTCAGTATGCAGATACAGACAGATTGACTCTGCCTGATCTTGAAGTTGATGTGTGTTTCGTGTGCACCACCATTAGCCCTAATAAACAAGAGTGTTTTCTTATTTAGAAGTGTCAAGTACATTTTCACCTCAGCATAAGTTTTAGCAACAAGGAGATTTCGTAGTGGAATCTAATAGACAGAAATCAAAGCAAATTTCCTTCAAGTTGTGTCACAATGGATTTAGACCTTTGTGAACAACTATTAGTGAATTGTCAGTCTGGAAGGCATATCAATATGTAGTCTGTATTGATTACAGAACATAGAGACCTTATCTGAATGTTATATATAACTGTTAAAGTTGGTACTTGTTGATTAGTTTCAAAAATACAAAATACTTAAAATGAATTGGCCTAGATTTTCACTATAAATAAGGAAAGTTGTGCAATAGCATTTATCTTTTTTTCATTGTCCACCTCTTTAGCAGCTTGATGGCCTAATAGTTCATTCATTCTTTAAACTAATTCTGGACCACAATTTAAATACAGTGGTGCCTCGCTAGACGATGATAATCCGTTCCACTGAAATCGCTGTTTAGCGAAATCATTGTCTAGTGAAAAGCATTTCCCTATTGGAATGCATTGAAACCTGTTTAATGTGTTCCAATGGGGAAGAATCGTCATTGTCTAATGAAGATCGGCCATAGGAAAACCGCTTTGTGAACCGCCAATCAGCTGTTTAAATAGCTGTCTTGTGAAGCTTGGGTCCCGAAAACACCCGTTTTGCGAGCGCGGAGGGAGCTATCAACATCGTTGTCTAGCGAAAATTGGTTTGCAAAGCAGGGACCAAACATCGTCCAGCGAAATTCCTCCATTAGGAATCACTGTTTTGCAAAAGGAATCACTGTTTTGCAAATCGCTGTAGCAATCGCAAAAAGCCAATGTCTAGCGAAAAATCTCATCGTAAAGTGTTTTTTACATCATGCGGGGTAACTGTCTAGCGAGGCACCACTGTATTTAAGATATCATGAGCAGCTTATTCTAAGAAAGTGGGGAACAATTCTCATATTAGGAAGAAAATTTAATGGAGGGTTGGCTCATAATATTTTAAGTTGTGTAACCCAGGAAGAGCTCAAGGTATGCTGTGATTTCTGCTATGTATGCTCCTCCAAAATTTGCAAATAGCAGTTTTATCATGGGACTTCAGCAGGCAAACTGCAACAGGTTATTTAAAGATATTGGCTGTCCATCTGCTTTGTTTGAGTAAGGTTGCAGACCTATGCAAATTACCTGAAAGTAAGTCCCATTGGACAGGACTGACTTCAGAATAAATGTCTATAAGACTGACCTTTTAAAATTAAATGTTGATCTATATTTTTATTTTTGCTCTTTTTCTTTTTTAAAAGAATAAAGGTTCACTTCAGTTTGAAGACAAATGGGATTTCATGCGCCCCATTGTTCTGAAGCTTTTACGCCAGGAATCTGTCACAAAACAGCAGTGGTTTGATCTGTTTTCGTAAGTAACTCCTCTAACACACAGTTGTTGGGTAATGGAATAGAAATATAGCTAGTCTATTGTTCTATAATACATTGTCAGAACAATTGATCAAGGAAAGATCTTACAAACAGACTTCTCATGATTTTTTTTAAATTGGTAGGAATTGGACTTGAAATAGTAATAAAACTTCAGTTATTTATTTGTTTTTTCGCTATACATACATTGCCATGCATTGGTGTGCTGTACTTCTATCCTCATCCAAGTAATTTTACTCTGATAAACTTGTTGGGTTGTAAATATTTTATTGTGCAGACTGTTGTATGTCAACCAAATTCTAAATCGGCCAGAAATGTATACAAAGTTGAACATACTGTGAAAAGAATAATAAGAAGGGCTTTGGTTTTGCTTGCTTAAATCAAGGATGCAGCTTTGAATGGTGCTGCATTTACACAGCATGCAAAAAATGCATTTTAAGGGGTATTTGTGGAAAGCACACATACTTAATGTTCTTTACATGGTTAGCTGCCCACATTTATTGAAAGATATTGGCAAGAATTTATTTAAGGATAGATTTCTGGTGAAGGCGAGGAGTAAAAAAATGGCTATTAAGCTCTGAAGATAACTGAGTCACAGAGTTACTAATTACAAGAGGAATAATGTTTCTTTTTAACCTTCTAAAAAGGGAGTTGCTGCTGAAGAAGATATTCTTCTTGCTATCCATGCTGTTTTTGTCATATCCTAAAGCAAGAGATTAGGACAGGGAAAAGGATGCTGCGTTTGGCATATAAAACACCATACTTACTGTTCTGAAGGGTTGTTGCTGTTAGACAAGTGTGTGGACTTGCCTTGAGAAGTAAACGAAGCTTAGGGTCAAGCTAGATGACATATAAAGCATACTGTTAGAAGCAGAAAGCAAATTAGAGTCTCTTTGAGCATCAAGCCTGCATGCTTTGACTTGCAAAAAAAGCTTATGTTTGCCTCCTGATGACCAAATGCGAAATAAAGCAAACTAGTTAGGAAGCTGCAAGAGGTGAGAAATGTTATGACAACCCTCTCTGATAACATGCAATCTATATCATTTCCCTTGATCTTTAGTTAAGAATAGCATTAACATGAAGTGTTTAACTTACGAGAAGAAAGGTAAAGTTTAGTATTTATTTTGGCCTGATTGGAATGTACATATTTTCTAGGGATGTGCATGGAGTTTGTTTGTGGGATGATAAAGGTCCAGCAAAAATACACCAGGCTTTGAAAGAAGACATCCTTGATTTTATTAAACAAGCCCAAGCAGTAAGTTTTCAACTGTCAACAGGCAGATGTTTTTTTCCTGATACTATGTTAAAGTGTGAACCATTTCTTCTGTTGTTAGCTTACAAAATAATTCCAATAGTTCTATGTTGCTTAAGATGCAGCTTAGAACTAAGAATAGGAACACATGTGATGGGTCACTTCATCCATTTCTCTCCTAGCAGAGTGGTGTATACTATGTATGGAAAAAGCAATCAAAACTCTGACCTCTGTAAATGGTGGTTTGGATGCAGACCAAGTTAGTTACACTGAAATGAAATATTTTTCATGTGTTAATAAATTATGTTGATTTTAGTTTCACTTATGATAAAATTGGTCTAGATCCAACCCTCAGTGCCTCATTTGCAAATCTGGAAAATTACAGTAACTGTGAGAGATCTCAGTCTATCACAATAAATGCTTTGTGTAAACAACTTATGGGTTTCCAGTTGTGTCAATACATGTTTATTGTTTTAAAAAGTTCAAGCTTTTGATGGCAATATCCTGCGCCATCTTCATCAGGGAAGGCAAGATGTCAGCTAAAACAAAACTAATGTTAAATGCCTAAAAATACAATCAAAACCAGCTAGGTAAACATTCAGACAAACTCAGATTAACATTAAAGAGCCAGTCCCCCACACTGGCCAGTATCATATAAGGGCAACCTGCCAATTCTATCCAGCTTGCAAAACAAAGTAACACCTCTGTCTCTGTTGATGGAATGTGGCTCAAGTTTTATCAAGAGAGCCTCAACAATAACTCTGTCCCAGAATTGATATTCTCTCTGTAACAGATCTTCTAGTCTGACCAATGTAAGCTTGACCACAGGAACATGGTACTTGACAAATGCTCAGGACTCCGAGTTTCAGAGGATTTTTAACTAGATGGGCCATTTGTTTGGTTTTGTGAATAGGATGGAAAACAGTGTGCAAGGTTAGAGATTTAAAAAGTCTTGCTGCTAGCACAGTGTTGGATTGTGGGGGGGGGGATTCTCAGCATATGCATTAGACTTATGTTTAAGTTTTTTTCTAAAAAATTATCTATTTCAAAAATAAATTGATGGGAGGCATTGAATTAACATTCCTGCTTGTGTATGAGCACAAAGTGCTCAGAAATATATTTACGTTTGGGTCCATCTCTTCTTTCAGAGAGTGCTGAGCCACCAAGATGATACTGCACTACTGAAAGCATATATTGTGGAATGGCGTAAATTCTTCACGCAGTGTGATATCTTGCCCAAGCCATTTTGTCAGTTAGAGATTACTCTCATGGGTAAACAAGGCAGTAATAAGAAATCCAATGTAGAAGACAGTATTGTACGAAAGGTAAGCACAGTGCTTCTCATGCCACGATCACAGAGAGAGGGGTGCTACAGCATGTGGCAGTACACATGGTAAATAGAACAGGGAAATGGTCCAACACCCATGCAGTATTCATATTGACACTTGAGTAAAATGTGAATCAGAGCCAGAAACAGTCATTCCCCTTTTGTTTCCATTGTGAAGGACAGCTCAGCTTTGTTATCCATCCAGTTTAGAGGTTGCTTTGACTGTCAAGGCTTGTCTTTATCTCAGAGTACATGCATGTATTTGAAACTGCTTGTTAGTAGTGAATAAATGCATGTGTTCCTTCCAGAGGAACATATAGGATGAGGAAGGGCATGGTCAAGAGCAAGGTTTCCTCTAAGCCGGGCACGCGTGCATCTCTGCCTCCCTCTGTACAGCTATCTTCCTCCTCCTTGCAGCAATCATGTTCAACCCCGTAGGTTCCAGTTGCAACAGAACCTGCACATGGGGGGGGGAATGGAGTTGCGTGCACACGCAGGGTCAAAGATGTGTGCGAGAGAGGTGGAGCCCCACCCAGCAGGACTGAAATTTAGAGGGTACATTGGTCAAGAGACAGTAAGCTTTACAGTAGACTTCCTGATAAGTTCAAATTCCTCAAATTTCTTGCTAAGAAGGTGATCATATACTTTCATGACCAAAAATATTGGCAACCTTGCAATTCTGTCAGATGATGCAACCCTTCTCTCAGAAAATTGTTGCAGTTGCAAATGTTTTGGTGCGCACATGTTTGTTTTTTTGGTTTGTGTTAGAACAACACAAAAACACAGAGAAGAAAAGTCAAATCTGATACAATCCCACACAGAAACCTCAAAATGCACTGGCCAAAATTATGGCACCCTTAATTTAATATTTGGTAGCACCACCTTTGGGAAAAAAACTGAAATCAATCGCTTCCTGTAACCATGAATGAGTTTCTTACACTTCTTCTCTACTGGAATTTTGGACCACTCTTCTTTTGCAAACTGCTCCAGGGCAGATTCAGATTTGAAGGATGCCTTCTCCCAACTGCTGTTTTGAGATCTCTCCACAGGTATTCTATGGGATTCAGATTGGACTAATTGCTGGACATTTCAGAACTCTCCAGTGCTTTGTTTGTAACCGTTTCTGAGTGCTCTTTGAAGTGTATTTCGGGTCATTGTCCTGATGGAAGACCCATGACTTCTGGTGGAGATGCAGCTTTCTGACACTGGCCACTATGTTGCACCCCAAAATTCTTTGGTAATCATCAGATTTCATGATACCGTTGACACAGTCAAGGAATCTAGTGCCAGAAGCAGCAAAGCAACCCCAAAACATCTTTGAACCTCCACCATGTTTGACTGTAGGGACTGTGTTCTTTTCTTTGAATGCCTCATTTCTTTTTCTGTAAACAGTGCCATCATGTCCTTTACCAGAAAGCTCTACTTTTGTCTCATCTGTCCACAGTACGTTCTCCCAGAAGGATTGTGGTTTTGTCACATAAGTTTTGGCATACTCCAGTCTTGCTTTTCTATGCCTTTTGTGTCAGCAGTGGTGTCCTCCTAGGTCTCCTTCCATAGCGTTCCTTTTCACTCAGATGGCGACAGATAGTGTGAGCTGACACTGTTGTACCCTGTGTCTGCAGATGAGCTTGAATTTGTCGGGAAGTTAATCTGTGTTCTGTATCCACCATTCAGTAATTTTGCTCTTCCGTCCACGTCCAGGGAGATTAGCTACAGTTCCATGGGGTGTAAACCTCTTGATGATACTGCACACAGTGGACACAGTAACATTAAGATCTCTGGGGGTGGACTTGTAGCCTTGAGGTTGTTGATGTTTTCCCACAGTTTTTTCTCTCAAATCCACAGACAACTCTTTACACTTTACACTTCATTCTTTTCTCCATGTTCAGTGTCACACACAACACAAAGGTTGTGTCAACTTTATCCATCTTAACTGGTTGCAAGTGTGATTACTATATTGCCCACACCTCTTACTTGCGACAGGTGAGTCTAAATACAAATTAAAGGAGCATCACATGCTTGAAAAACAATTATTTCTTACAAGTTAGACAGAGTGCCAATAATTTTGGCCAGTGCATTTTTGGGTTTCTGTGTGGGATTATATCAGATTTGACTTTTCTTCTCTTTTTTTGTGTTGTTCCAATGCAAGCCAAAGAAATGAACATATGAGTAACAAAACATTTGCAGCTGCAACAATTTTCTGAGAGAAGGGTTGCATCTTCAGACAGAATTGCAAGGGTGCCAATATTTTTGACCATAGACAGTTTTAATCTGTTCTTGTTAAAAAGTAAAAGTTTTCATGTGACCATTCTGTCACATTTGATGGCAATGTTAAGTTTTATTTTCTAACTGAAATCTCCCAGAGTCTTTGAGACTTAAAATTTAAACAGTTGCCATTTGGAAGTCTGTATATAGTTCTCCTAATATATTTTCTTGTTTTTGTCTTTGTAGCTCATGTTAGATACTTGGAACGAGTCCATATTTTCAAACATAAAGACTCGACTTCAAGACAGTGCAATGAAGCTGGTTCATGCGGAACGACTAGGGGAAGCCTTTGACTCCCAACTTGTCATTGGCGTTAGAGAATCTTATGGTATGTTTTATACATGGGCCAAGACTGCAGTCTCCCCTTTTATATAGCTTTCATCTAAGCTGAAAAGATAGCTACCAGATCATACTGGAAAATGGTAATATTTTAAATCCACCAACTAATATGTTTTTGGAAAATGTGTTAATAATATATATCTTTAGAAAATCATGGTTTTAGGGATACAGGATCCTTTCCATACAGTGCAATGCAAGGTTGTAGTCATAAATCTGCAGTTTAAAATATCTGTAAATTATGGATGTTTTATCTTGCTAGAAACTTGTTCCTTATTTTAACTGGTGAATAAGGAGTTGATTCAGATGCTTTTGGCAGTGATAATCTTCAGATTTGTATCACTACTGCTTTTACACAGTCCTTGGCCATAAGATTAGTACATGGGGGAAAAGATCTGAAATGTCATGGACTAGGTATGTAAGGGAAACTGAGATAAGTACGCACACTCCTGCAAATGATCCTGAAACATCCAGTTTACTACATGATGTTAAAAAAAAAGGTGTGAAATATTTTCTGGAAGCATTTTATTTGCTCAAAAGTTGGTTTTAGGAAAATGCCTAAGGAATAATAATTTTATCTCCATATCATTGTAATTTTATCTCCAGATCGTCATAATATTTTCATGGTTCTACCTCTGATATTTTCATTTTTTCTCATTCAGAAGATTAAGTGTATTTTTTCATACAAAAGAAGAAGAAAGAGCTCATCTTGTTATTTTTTGTTACAGTTAATTTGTGTTCCAATCCAGAAGATAAACTCCAGATATATCGGGATAATTTTGAAAAAGCATACCTTGATTCAACAGAGAGATTTTATAGAACTCAAGCCCCTTCATATTTGCAACAAAATGGTGTACAGAATTATATGAAATATGTAAGTGAAAAAGTCCATACAAGGCTAGCTGTGCTACAGATATTAATATTTTAAGTGACTGTTGTTCTGCTTCTGCACAGGCAGATGCTAAACTAAAGGAAGAAGAAAAAAGAGCACTACGGTATTTAGAAACTAGGCGGGAATGTAACTCTGTAGAGGCGGTAAGTATAAATTGTGGATATATTGTGTACAATATATCATTTATTGTCTTAGTTGTGCAACAGTTCATATGTTAGAAGGTATAGTAAATGAAGTCACGGCTCTCACAATTTGGAATACAGTGTCACTGCAAACTTATTCTTTTATCCACTTAAAATATTAGAGCTAATTGCACTCAAAGTAGCTCCACTGTCTCAGTAATGAGAAATTGAAATTACACAATATCAGAGATTGCTCTCTAGTCCACATCTTTGATATGTCAGTGCAGACAGATCTGTTGTACAAATTAAAAGTCAACAAACCTACCATATTTTTCAATGTATAAGACTATACTTTTGTCTGAAATCTTTAGACTAAAAATGAGAGTCTTATACATGGAAGTAAGCTGAGGAGAGAACAAAAACAAGGGGAGGGGAAAGCAGGGATCAAAGCGATCCTGCAGCACTTTGATCCCTTTCCCCCTACACTTGCTAAGTCCCACTTTGATTTCTTAATTTTGGATTAGAAAAGGGGGGGTCTTATACATGGGGGCGTCTTATACACGAAAAATACGGTAAATGCCAAATTCTGGTGAGTGAAGTATGCCAGTATGAGGCTTGTTGCTTGTGGTTAATGAGTTCTTTCTTTGATTCCAAAGCTTTTCATGGCTTGCGTGCAGTTAGTCTCATTGCACATAAGATGTGCAGGCCTTGAGTTGGAAGCAGAAACTCTTTAATTACCAACAATCTGCTGCTGCCCATAATGGAGGCTGCTAGTTGTAAAGAGTTTCTGCTTCCATGCCCAGGTTTCTCTGTCACATGCAATGAAATTAATTGTCCACAAACTGCATGAGCCTTGAGACTGAAGCAAGAACTCTTTAAGTACAGTGGTGCCTTGCATAGCGATCACTCCGTATAGTGACGAAATCGCTTAGCGACACTGTTTTTGCGATTGCAAAAGAGATTGCTTTGCGATGATCCCTATGGGGAAATTTCGCTTTGCGATGATCGCAGGGAAGCGATCATCGCAAAGCTCCCATTTTCGGCCAGCTGATCGGCTGTTTCAAAATGGCCGCCCGCTGTTTTCAGGCATGGATTCCTCGCTTTGGAGGCACCGAAAATGGTGGCGCTATGGAGGATCTTGCTTAAAGGTGAGTTTTAAGCCCATAGGAATGCATTAATCGCATTTTAATGCGTTTCTATGGGCTTTTTATTTTCGCTTATCGATGTTATCGCTTAGCAGCGATCTTTTCTGCACGAATTAACATCACTAAGCGAGGCACCACTGTACCAGCATGTCCTCAGCTGGATGACACTGCATCAGTTCATGCTGGTGTACTTTGCCCAGTAGTATTGTGGTTGTTACAACATAACTGTACACATAAATCAAGAGTTTCAGTATTTCTTCTCTGTGGTCTTTATTGAAAAATAAATAAAGCTTAGTCTGAAAGTAATAGGATGATGTCATCTATTGAATGATAAGATCTTATGCTGTATGCTGTTTTTTCTTGTTTTTATTTTACAAACTGTACAGCATAACATTAACAATGTTATACAAGTGTAAGGTGAGATAGAATATTAAAAACCAATTAAAAATAATCAACAGATATTATTAGACTGGGTTCAGATTCAGGTTTTCTTGGTTCTGGTGTGCAGTGTCGAACTGAGTTGCCTCGAATAGATGTGTGTTCTGGATGCTTAGGAATTCAGTCCTCTACATCTTTTACCAAAAGGTAAATAACACTGCATTGAATAGATCCTACATCTAAGTAGGCAGGGTTTCTACTGAAAAATATGTCTGTCAACTTTAAGCTTTATTTAATTCTGGTTGGAAGAGGACTATAGTAATTCTGTAGAGAAACTATTGAGTTAATTGTGGTGGGAGATATTTGAGCCTCATATTTTAAAGTTTCATGGTGTGCCCTTAGTTTAATATCTACAAAAGTATTTGAAAGATCTAGTGTAAAACTATATAGTTGTTTCATCTAAACTAGAGCTGAGCATTGTGCACCTCCCAGAGACATCTTTGTGTGTCCCAAAGGCAAATGTTTTATGCTTTAGGCCAAAAAAATTGCCTGTTCTGACCCTGGAAACCTCAGGAGCCTGATTACATGTGTGCCCTAATACAGTGGTGCCTCGACTTACAAATGCCCCTACTTACAACCATTTCGAGTTACGACCAGCTCCGGCCACAAAATTTTGCTTCGACTTACGAACAGAAAAAGGCAAGGAAAAAAGGCGGGAAATTCAAATTGCTAACTGTAGGTGCCGACGAGGCGGCTTCTTTGTAGCTCTTTTGCCCTAGCAGTTAAAGAGTGTGCGATCGGAGGAGGCTGCCTGGTAAGGTAATGTGCTGTTTTCTGCTTTTTAAAAACTGTTTGGGTGTTTTTGCAGCATGGTTTTGGGCTGAGAGAGGTTATGTTTCTGTGCTGTGATGGGTCTTGGGGTTTTTTTTGTTCCCCCCAATTTCCACTGGGTCTTGGGGGGTTTGTTTGTTCTTTGGTTCCCCCCCCCATTTCCAGTGAGTCTTGGGAGGTTTGGTTGCTTTTTGTTTGGAGTGTTTTTTCCCATTTCCGATGGATCTTCGGGATTTGGTTGCTTTTTGTTTCCTCCCCTCATTTCTGATGGGTCTTGGGGGGTTGGTTGCTTTTTGGGTTTATTTCCCCATTTCCGATGGGTCTTTTTCCTTTGTTCTCTTTGCATTTCTGAACTGCCCCTTTGTTCTCTGTGCATTTCTGAACTGCTTTGTTTGTTTTCTGTGCATTTCTGAACTCCTCCCTTTGTTCTCTGTGCATTTCCAACCTGGTCCCTTTGTTTTCTGTGCATTTCCAATGGGTCTTGCATACTTGATTCCTTTTCTTCTCCCCTCCCCCCCCCTTTGGCCAGAAAGGATCAATCACATTTCCAATTAGTTTTGCTGTGATTTTTTTGGTGATTTTTTCCCCTTTGGCTGGAACAGATTAATTGTATTTCAATGCATTTCAATGGAAAATAGTGCTTTGATTTTCGACCATTTCGACTTACGACCATCTTCCGGAACCAATTAAGTATATAAGTCGAGGCACCACTGTACCACCAACTCCTGAAATAGAATAAATGAAAGAGTTACCTGGGCACTTCCTGATTGTTTTTTTAAATTACAACATCAAACATTTTGTGAGCTACAGCAGCCTTTGACCCTGAGGTCTTCCACCCATTTCGTAGGCCTTATATTGCAGTTATGTAACATTGTGTTTACTTTATAAAGTAGCTAATATGATATTGCAGACCTGAAAATAGAACAAATATATTGATTTATGTGGTGCAATATAAGAAGGTACAGTACTCACTATGAGGTAGCTCCTGCAGGAAATAACCATTTTTCCTTTTGGGTTGTCTCTCTGCATGTTTTCTCAGAGCTAAATATTGAAATAGATATAGATTAGTTCTGAGCAAATATAAACAGGACTAAGGTACTCCCATCCATTTTTTAAAATTTAAATTCATCAAAAATATAGATAGAAATGCATCTAACATAAGAGAGGTGGCCAGAATGTGTTTCATACTTGGATTCTGAGTTGTACAGAGATGCAATTTTTGATGGATAATGTAAGTGTACAGATGTAAGTTGAATTCAAGAAATCTGTCAAACCATAGTTTTAGAAGCTCCCCACACCAAAATTGCAAAGTAGTTCTGGGTTACAATCCTAATTTAGAAAAAATTCATTAGACCATAATTTTGGTAGCTCAGGTGAAGTAACTGATCAAAGATCTGTGGCTGAAAGGAGAAAGGAAGTGCAAGGAAGAGTCTTGTTCCTGATGTTTCAAACAATGGTTGTGGAATAATCTGAGTTAAGCAAATCTCAAGTGTTGCCTTCCTACCTTTCAGCTTATGGAGTGCTGTGTAAACGCTCTGGTGACATCTTTTAAGGAGACGATTTTAGCTGAATGCCAAGGCATGATCAAACGAAATGAAACGGAAAGTAAGTGAAAGTTGACCTGTTTTTTTCTGCATTAGATTGCCAACAGAACACAAAAATTGATTTAATGTAATACTGGGTGTAGTTGGTACAGAAAAAAAGTGTGATGCACACTGTATTAATTCTTAGTAAGGAAGTTCACCAAAAATACATTTTGATGTTAAAAGTTAAAAACTATTGGCTCCCTTCTGTCATCATAATTTAATTAGTGTTACTGTATAAAGAGATTTTATAGCTATCTTTGTTGTCATTGTTGTTGTTACTTTTATCCTGCCCTTTCTCAAGAGATATCAAGGCACTGTTATTGTCAAAACAACCCTGTGACGTTGGTGAAGCTCACAAATGTTAGTTGGTGCAGTGTCACTTGTTGAACTTAAGGGCTCCCTGGCAATGGAACCCAGTTTTTCCCATTCCCACTCCCATGCTCTGAAGCAGAATGGAAAGCCTGTGACCCTTCTGTTGCTAATGGATTCAGGTTCCCATCAGCTCCTGCTATCTTGACCAATGATAAGGGTTGGTGGGAATAGTTGTTCATCAATGCCTGGAGGGCCATGGTTTCCCTTTAACCACTTCATCCCATATTCATATATTTATTTACTTATTACACTCTGTTCACTCAGTGTATCTCTTTTTCATTGATGACCAGAATGCTATTGTTAGTTTAATGCTTGTGTAAGGGAGATCAGGTAAGTCTTGATAGCAAATTGCTACTTGTTAACGAGGTGCTGGTTGTGTTCCTTGGCATGCAAGCACATGCCTGAGAACATAAGCAGTGCCTAATTAATAAACGCAAATTTGTCACCAAGGCTTATGGTATTTTACTTATGCAAGCATAAATCAGTGATAGCATTCTAGGCAGTAGTGCTGATGTTTCTCAGTTAGTGGTAGTCCAGTGTTACCTGGAAGTAAACACTATTTCAATATAATTTATTAATTGCATTCTAGAATTTTCTTTGTTTAATCACATTTGATCAGTGTTGCCATTTAGGTTGTAATAAGAATAATTTGAGCCAAATGTTGCCATTTAATTAAACAAGGAAACTTATGGAAGCAAATGAATCCTACTAATATAAATAGGATTAAATTTTTTATTGTCTGAAGAGGCATTCAGACACCCTTGTGGATCCATGAACTGGATGTTTCTCTTGATTTGCTGTTGACTTCTACTTCATCTTGTTTCTTGAACTATTGCTATTACTGTTTGGATCTCATTATTTATGTCTTTGTCAACTAGTGTAGGTGGTTGTGTCATCTTATTTGCTATTAGCTGCCCAGAGTAGTGCTTAGATGGGTGGGATAGAAATTCAGATAATTAATTAATTAATTACATTTAAAATATATGCCTTATGGCTAAGAAAGATGATAAAATTCAATTTTACTATTTAAAAAATTACAATCCTAATTCAGTAAAAGCAAACAGATAATTTTATCATGCAGTTCAAGGTAAAGTAACATTACTGTACCACAAATAGAGAAAATAAATCAATTTTTAAAATTGCCGTTTGTTCAGTATTGATTTCAGTATATAAACATTTAGCTATGGTAGGCTCTGGGAGTTCAAGACCTTAAAACTATGCCTGGCTTCTTATCCTGGCAGCAGTTGTTTGGCACAGGTCCAGAGCTGAATATAGCAAAATACTAAACCTTATACAAGTATAACTTTCAACTCTCAAGGGAAACAAGGTTATATAGGAACATGTCGCTGAAATGAAATTGATCAGTGAATCTGATGTTTTGCAGTGAATTTCATTTCTCCGGTTCTATCGAATCTCAGAGAAATTGGTACATAAAGCAGCTTTGTCTGTGTAGTTTCACTTCTGTCTGATGTGCACCTTATAAAATAAGCCAGTGGATATTCCTGTGAAGAAGCACTGGTGGTGTTTTTTAAGCAGATGCATAGTGAATACCCCACTGCCTGGGGTATGTTTGGTTTGAATTTCATCCTCCTTTCAGTAAAATGCAGCATCATGTCATTGCCTTCTCAAGGATATTTGTAGCCCCACTTTTCATCTGTCAATTGCTTTAAAATAGAGTGATGAAGTTGGTAGACCACATGGAGCCTCCTGAGCCTCTGTTGATGTGCTGACTTGCCAGACTACAATGCACCTTGAATAAAAGAATTGGCCCTCAGTATTTAAATCATTCTCCTCAGAGGCCACTGGAGGTGTTGATTTGTCCTATGAACATAATTCTTCTCCCCTTTCACACACCGCAGCTTTAATTTAAAAAAAAAACTGGAAATTGTAGGTGTTCCCTTCCTGTTTATAAAAGGGAGCTTGAAGGGTGATGATATGTTTACAGATGCATGATCTGTATTTTGGGAGCAGAGTATTTTCCCCCAGGGTATTTTGGAAGGGAAAAATGTCAGTCGAGTGTCCAGCCCTCCAAAGCCGGGAGTGAGGGACAAAATGACACTTGGACCCGCCTTTGCTTTTAAAAGAAAACGAAAATGTTTATAATGTAGCACTTAGGCCAACTTGTAAAAATAATTATTTTTGTAAGAACAGAATCCAATGTAGAAGCCTTTTTAGTGAATATGAGTAGAAGCCAGATGGAATGGGTTTTGTTACTAAAATTTGCAGAGGTTGCAAAAACTGAAATTAGATTGATCTCTCTACCTAAGTTATCAAACTCTCTGTATGCAATCTGAATCTTCAAGTTGAAGGTCAAGATTCAGGGTGCATTCTCTTTTCCCTCCCAATTTTTCCCATCCAGAGCCATTTATGGCTTTTTTCTATTCTGGGAGTTAACCATGTTATCTTGTTCCATGTGCACTGTGATTTTCAGATCTGGTTTCAAGGATCTGAGTTTGGCTTCACTGTGGTTTTTCCCTGGTGTGTATGTAATGCATGACAATGGTTAATTCTGAAGAAGAAAGGGAAAAATTAGTTCAAGGAGAAGACAGTGTTTTCAAAGGGGAGAGAATGTGTACCTTTAAGAACATCTCTCAGTTTGGAAACTCTGGTTTGGAAGGATTGTATAATCATCTCAGATATGATGATAATAATGATAATGACAATCTTAGAACTACAGACCTGAAAGGGACCCTGTGGATCATTGGCTCCAGCCCCTGCCCAAGATAGTTTTTAATGTTCACTCACTTTTAATTATTTAATCATATTAGTTTAGTGTATAGTTTAATTAGTGTATAGTTTAATTGTTTCTTAATGTTTAACTTACTATGTTTTTAATTCTGTTCTTTTAATATTGCAAGCTGTCTTGGTTCCCCTTATAGGAGAAAGGCGGCCTATAAATAAAAGCAATTAAAAATTAAAGCAAAGAGTCACAGTAGAGAATTGGACACCTAACCTCTGGCTGCACAGCCAGATGCTTAAACCCTTGAGTTAATCAGTTTTCATATAATTTTTCAGTGCATGGTGGAGAATAGTTTTTTTAGAAGTTGAACTACTGAGTTAGCTCAGTGGTTTAGGTCCATGATTGTGGAGCCAGAGATTGGGAGTTTGGTTCCCCATAGTATCTCCTTGACACAGGCTGGACTCAGTAATTCATAGGATTGGGAGTTTGATTCCCCACAGTATCTCCTTGACACGGGCTGAACTCAGTAATTCATAGGGTGCCTTCCAACTCTGAAGTTCTAAGAAGAATGAACAGAACATCTTTACAAGTCTATATATATAAAGCTGCCAGAGTTCTACCTACTTATGAACTGACTGATGGCTTCGTCAACATTTTGTGTTTTCAGAGTTGCATTTAATGTTTTCATTGATGGATAAAGTTCCTAATGGAATTGAGCCTATGTTGAAAGATCTGGAAGAACATATTGTTAGTGCTGGATTAGCAGATATGGTAGCAGCAGCTGAAACTATTACTACTGTAAGTAGATCTTTCTTGTCTTTATTCCTTACATCTTCTTAGTGAGAGCTTTCTAGAAATATAAATAAAATAAATAAATAAATATCAGTTGAATAAATTACTGAGCCTACCACTATAAAGTAGAGCATTGAGTTGGATTCGCTGGTCTTACAGGCCCTTTCAAAATAAGTTATTTTATGATTCTATGGTTCTATGATTCATTCCCTGCACTAGCTATGGACACAGGTGACTGTAGCTAGGACTTTTCCTTCCTCTTTATGGATTCAAAGCCAGCAGTTTGTGTGCCAGTTGAATAAATTACTGAGCCTACCACTATAAAGTAGAGCATTGAGTTGGATTCGCTGGTCTTACAGGCCCTTTCAAAATAAGTTATTTTATGATTCTATGGTTCTATGATTCATTCCCTGCACTAGCTATGGACACAGGTGACTGTAGCTAGGACTTTTCCTTCCTCTTTATGGATTCAAAGCCAGCAGTTTGTGTGCCGCTGAGGATCAGTGTGAGTGTAACATGGACACAAGTAGCCCTGGGCTCACATACACCCTTTCTGTGCAGAAGGGAGTTACGGATGTTAATGCAAATTGAGAGGCAATCTGGCTAGTGTTAGCCATGTTTAGTGCCAGTGATTAAGGCTGACAAGAGGCTGGAGGAGGAGATATGCAGTGGAGAAGTCACAAGGGCATGTTCATAAAACTGACTTCAGCAAACTAAGGGAGGGTGGGTTTGGTTTGCACCCTGTGTTTGATCTGTACCAGGCCACAGAGAATGCTCTCAGTTTCTCATGTTCCTGAATGAAATGTTTTTGTGCTCACAGGTGTTATGCTATCTGAATATAATGTAGAAATGCACTTGTGAAGGTGTGAAGGAGGAGAGTGTGCCGTCCCCAGAAGATAAAGGAAAGGAGGGAGGGGAGAAAGCAGAGAGAGAGAGCAGGAACAGGAGGCCCTGAGGGAGAACGTGGGGGCAACGGATAAAAGGGAAAGGAGCGGGAAATTTGAAGTGAGTTTAGTGGAGGAACGTGAGGGTAAGAAAGAGGGGCAAGAGCTGTTGGTTTGGGAGGAAAGTATAAGTAGCCAGGGAGAGCGTCAGTTTGAGGTAAAACTGGAGTTGTGGAAGAGGAAGAGAGAGCTGGAGAGGCTGAGAGAATATGAGAGAGTAAAGACTCAGGAGCTGTTGAGGGAATTCCCTAACCTGAAGCTTGGAGGGTTGCTACCGGACCCAGTCCTGAAGGAGAGTGGAGAGGTTAAGTATGACACTCTAGAGTAGTCGGTAGTAGTCTTTCCCAAGAATAAGGGGCGCAGGCAGCCGGTAATAAGACCCGATTTGTGTTAAAACACTCCCCTTATTGAAGGTGACTGGGCAAGGCACCCATGCTGCGGCACCATTTGCGCAGTACGGAGTGCACCCCTTTGGAAGCCAACAGATACCGAGAGGTTTGGCCTAGCACCCCTCTAAGTGCAATGGAAGGAGGACAAGACTACATGTTGGACAGTTATGGCTGTTGCCTGAATTAAGCTTTTTCGACCCCATCATGAATAATGTTGATTTATTTATTTATTTATTTATTTATTTATTTATTTATTTATTTATTTATACCCCGCCTATCTGTTTGTCGCGATTTACCAGTTGTTAATAAAGATGAAGCTGTTAAAGCTAAGAAGACGTCTCCAGTGATATTTCCCGCGCAAAGTGAGTTGTCAAAATTTGAAACCGAATGCATTCACACTGGCGCCCAACGTGGGGCAACACCTGACACGGGAAATAGGGATTTTGCAAAGCTGCAGCAAATGATTGAGAAGCAAGAGAAACTGATTGAAAACCTAACAGAGCAACAGACTTTGTTGACTAGGCACTTGCTGGCTAGGAAGGATGAAGAGGGGAAGTCTAGCCGAGCCCAGGAGGGACTGAAGAACCCCTGGGTTGCGGGGCCAGCGCCAATAAGAATACAAAAGATGGGAGTGTCAAATGACCCAGAGGCTTACTTACACACTTTCGAGAGAGTGGTGGTCGCAGCGGGCTGGCTGAAGGAGCAGTGGACATTGATATTAATTCCTTGTCTGACAGGCGTGCTCCAAGAAGTGGTTGACACATTATCGGCGGGAGAAGCCTCCCAGTATGAGGTAGTGAATACAGCTATACTAAGGACATTGAACTTGACAGAGGAATCGTATTGGAAAAGGTTTAGAGAATTAAAGCTGAAAAACAGCGCACATCCTCGGACGTTGGTACAGAGGATGAAAGCAAACCTAGTGAGGTGGCTGAAACCCGAAGAGAAGACGAAGTAGGAGATCTTAGAGATATTAGTGATGGAGCGGTTGGTTACAACACTCGGGAGCAGTTTGAAGAATTGGGTACTAAGGAATCGTCCAACAAAGCTAGAGGAGGCGGTCCAACTGCTAGAGGATTTTTGCCTGGCCAAAGAGAGCGCCAGAGACAACTTTTCAACCTGGGAAAAGGTGCGACCTCGTGAGAAGATGGCGACCTGAGGTAATGGAGCTGCGCCACGAGGAGCTCCCAGCCCACATGATCTCACTAAAGGGCGCCCCTTTGAGCCGATGTGGCCAAAGCCGGTACGCCCTATGATGATCGACCATCGGCTATTTGAGAGCACTGCTGGAACCGGGACAATCAAGAGTGGATGGCCCATTTGTTTCGATTGTGGGCACCTGGGACACGTCTGTCGCGAGTGCCCTGGCTTGGACTGTTCTTGGGTAGGAACAGAGTCAGGACCAATACAAGTATGGGGATCTGAGAGGGATGGTTAGGAGGTGATGGCCTGGATAAACGGAGAGAAGAAATGGGCGCTTATAGATACCGGTTGTGGGAAGACTTTGGTGCGAGACTTGGGGTGGGGGCGAAGCCAGAAGAGGAGTTTACGATCCAGTGCATTCATGGAGACTCTAAAACATATTGGGCTGTGTGGGCGGATGTGCAAGTAGAAACTGAAAGCAAGAGAATCAAAGTGGGGGTCGTTCCAGATTTGTCTCGGGAAATGTTGTTGGGGCATGATTGGGTGGGAAGGTGAAAGTTTGTACCATTCAAGGAGGGTTTACAAGGGGAAGAGACTGAAAAAGCGATTGAAAATGACTTTCTGCAGGAAACATCGAGAGAACAGACCAGGATGTGGCAGCAGGATGATGAGACGCTGCAGGAGGCTTTACAAGAAGCAGGAGAGGTAGGGAGTGTTCAAGCTGGAGAGATGAGGTTAGAACTAATAGAAGGACTTCTGTATCATGTGGACTGTGAGGGAAACAAACAGCTAGTGGTGCCCTCTAATTGGAGAAAAGAGGTAATGCGACTAGCCTATGATATCCCTATGGCAGGCCACCTTGCTCTAGAAAAGATGAAGTCAAGAATTTTACATAGATTTTGGTGGCCAGGCATGGGAAAGGAGATAGAGGATTATTGTATCACTTGCCAACCATGTCAAATTACACAAAGGAAGCCACGGCCAGGGGCTTCGCTCATTCCCATGCCATTGGTAGATCATTCCTTTGATAGAATAGGAATTGACATTGTGGGGCCCTTATTAAAACTGGGAGGGGGCACACCCACATTCTTGTATTGATAGACTATGCTACCAGGTACCCTGAAGCAATCCCCCTGCGGTCAACCACAGCCACTGCCATAGCCAAGGAATTGATGCAAGTTTTCACCAGACTAGGTTTCCCTAGGGAGGTACTGATGGACAAAGGGACAAATTTCATGAGCCAAACCTTAAAAAGATGTGGAAATTATTGGAGGTTCGACCTTTGCGTACAGCAGTATATCATCCTCAAACTAACAGTTTAGTTGAAAGTTTTAATAAAACCTTAAAGGGGATGCTAAGGAAGCTAGTCATGGACAAACCAAAAAGATGGCACCTACTGGTGGCCCCACTTATGTTTGCTATAAGAGAAGTCCCGCAAGTGTCCACAGGGTTCTCCCCATTTGAGATGATGTATGGTTGGAACCCTAGGGGGATATTAGATTTAGTAAAGGAGAAATGGAAAAGCAGTAAAGATGAGGCTCATACAGTGGTGAAACGTGGTAGAGATGAGAGAACATCTGAACAAGGTGGCACAGTTATCCAAGGTAAATTTGGCAACTGCGCAACAGGGACAAAAGAGAAGGTATGATCAAAACTTCAGACCCAGACAATTCCAGCCAGAGCAAAAGGTCCTCCTTCTCTTGCTGGCAGAAGCTCTGAATTACTCTCAAGGAAGGTCTGACCTAGTGCTTGGACAAGGGCTGACGGAAGAGCAAGTAACCCAAGTCAGAGAATTAGAAGCAAATTATCAAGATGTGTTCTCAGATCATCCAGGCTACACAACTCTGATTGAACACCAGATCCATACCAAGCCCAATGTAGTAGCAAGATCCAGGGGACACAGTTGGCCTTACCATATGAAAGAAACTATAAATAGGGAAGTGGAGGAGGTGTTGGAGATGGGAGTTATAGAACCTTCTAGAAGTCCATGGAGAAGTTACCCGGTGATAGTGCCTAAAGCTGATGGGAAGGTCCAGTTGTGCATTGATTTCCATAAGCTGAATGAAGTGTCCAAGTTCGATGCCTACCCTATGCCAAAGGTGGATGATTTGTTAGAACGACTGAGTCAGTCTAAATTCCTGACTTTGTAGGACCTCACTAAGGGGTATTGGCAAATTCCCCTCAGGGCTGAAGGAGAAGACGGCCTTCGTGACCCCAAAGGGGTTGTTCCACTTCTCCCGCATTCCTTTTGGACTGCATGGCGCAGCAGCCACTTTTCAGAGGTTGATGGACCAAGTGTTAGAGCCGGTCCAACAATTTGCTGGCGTCTACATAGATGACATCTTTATATATAGCAGGAGCTCAGAAGAGCATTTGAGGCACCTTGAAGCAGTATGGGAGGAGCTAAGGAAGGCAGGCTTTAAGGTAAAACCCCAAAAATGTAGGGTAGCTAGGAAGGGAGTAACTTACTTAGGGTATCAGATTGATCAAGGAAGAATACAACCTGTGCCAGAGAAGGTGGAGAAGATCACTGATTGGAGAGTGCCACAGAGTAAGAAGGAGGTACAATAGTTCTTAGGCCTGGCCGGATACTGTAGGCAGTTTGTCTCCAATTTTGTTGAAATTGCAGCCCCTTTGACAGATTTGACTAAAAACAAGACCCCTAGGTGGGTACGGTGGGGCACATCAGAACATCAGGCTTTTGAACAGTTACAATCCATACTAAGTGAATTACCTAGTTGATACATTCCCGATTTCAACAGACCTTTCTTGGTGCAGATCGATGCCTCAGAATGCGGATAGGAGCTGTACTAGCTCAAGAACAAGAAGGGGTGGAATATCCAGTGATGTATTTGAGTAAAAAACTATCCCCAAGAGAACAGAAGTATTCCACCATAGAGAAAGAAGTGTTTGGAGCAAAGTGGGCGGTACAGACACTACGATATTACCTCTTGGGGGCACCGTTTATTTTAATCACTGCTCATGCCTCCCTCCAATGGTTAAATCGGATGAAAGATTGTAATCCCTGTCTTACCAGGTGGTACTTGAGTCTACAACCCTATGCCTTTGAAGTCAGGTACAAGAAAGGGATGGCACATGCTAATGCGGACTGTTTTTCCCGACAGGGAAAGTGGGAAGAAGTGACCACCATGGAGGAGACGGCCCACTCGTCGGGGGTGTGTGTGAAGGTGTGAAGGAGGAGAGTGTGCCGTCCCCAGAAGATAAAGGAAAGGAGGGAGGGGAGAAAGCAGAGAGAGAGCAGGGAGGACCTGAGGGAGAACGGGGCAATGGATAAATCCGTCCCCAGAAGATAAAGGAAAGGAGGGAAGGGAGAAAGCAGAGAGAGAGCAGGGAGGGCCTGAGGGAGAATGTGGGGGCAATGGATAAATGGGAAAGGAGGGGGAAATTTCAAGTGAGTTTAGTGAAAGAGCGTGAGGGTAAGAAAGGGGTGGAGCAAGAGCTGTTGGTTTGGGAGGAAGGTATAAGTAGCCAGGGAGAGCGTCAGTGTGAGGTAGAACTGGAGTTGTGGAAGAGGAAGAGAGAGCTGGAGAGGCTGAGAGAATATGAGAGAGTAAAGACTCAGGAGCTGTTGAGGGACTTCCCTAACCTGAAGCTTGGAGGGTTGCTACCGGACCCAGTCCTGAAGGAGAGTGGAGAGGTGAAGTATGAGCCTCTAGAGTTGTTGGTAGTAGTCCTTCCCAAGAATAAGGGGCGCAGGCGGCAGGTGATAAGATCCGATTCGCGTTACAACACTCCTCTTATTGATGGTGACTGGGCAAGGCACCCATGCTGCGGTACCATTTGCGCAGTACAGAGTGCACCCCTTTGGAAGCCAACAGATGGCGAGAGGTTTGGCCCAGCGCCCCTCTAAGTCCAATGGAAGGACAAGACTACATGTTGGACAGTTATGGCTTGTTGCCTGAATTAAGCTTTTTCGACCGCATGATGAATAACGTTGGTTTACCAGTTGTTAATAAAGATGAAGCTGTTAAAGTTAAGAAGACGTCTCCTGTGATATTTCCCGTGCAAAGTGAGTTGTCGAAATTTGAAACCAAACCTATTCACAGCACTTTATCACAAATAATAAGCTCCTTAATTCAAATCATGTTCCACAAAAACCTAGTGAAGGTTTTATACTCAGTACCTCTGCTGAAGCTTTACATTAAGCTTAAAAGTATTAGAGTAAGTAGTTTATTAGTGCTACTTATTATTAATGTTTACATGCTATTTTTCCCTCACAGATTTGGCTTTTCATTTTTGTTGTTGCTTTGCTTCTTCATTTTTCAGGATTCTGAAAAGTATGTAGAACAATTGCTTACGTTATTTAATCGGTTTAGCAAGCTTGTTAAAGAAGCTTTCCAAGATGACCCAAGATTTCTTACTGCCAGAGATAAGGTATGTTTAGTGTTTTTAATATATTGAACGTTTTAATAAACAATACCAATTCAAGAACCCATTGTTAACGTGCATGGAATTTAAATGGTATAAGTAAAAAGTACCATAATAATAAAACCAGATGTGTGTTGGAACTATAACATAAAGCACATGAAACGTGCCATACATCACTTTAGGGTTTTGTTTTCTCGGTAGATTTTAAAATCACCCCAAAAATTAAGTAATTAGAACATGCCCATGTGTTTGAAGCTGGGGACAGAATTAATAGAGCTGAAACTCACTCTTGCTGTCGGTTAGTAATTCTCCAAGGAAAGAAGTAGCCAAACCCTCCCCTTGTAAATATGTAAGGAAGCATCATAGCAGAAACTATGCTATGCCACTGGTAGAGGTTTCACTCACACATTATGGGCATAAAATGTCTAAATCTGGCACCAGTGTAACTTGTGCTTGAAGGCTTTGGCATGCTAAACTAAATTCTAGCTGAATCAAAGCTGGATACTTTTGCTAACAGTTAAGAACCAGGCATTTGGCTGTTATCTTAAGAGTTTTATGTATTTAAGTAATTCTGTGTATGATTTTAATCATATAATTGTACTGAAGTGTGTAGTTATAGTCACCGCTATAAATGCCTAGTTCAACAAAATATGTCAATTTATGCAAAAGTATAACTACTTTCCTCAACTGAAGATTTTTCAGAGAATCACAGAATAACGAATTGAAGATTGTAATAAGAAAAATCCATAAAAGAGTGAGAAATTATCATCACCAGATATGGAATATTATTCAGTTATTAAAGGCAGATGACAAAACCATTTTGTTTCTAAATAATCTGAGAACTCTACCCACAATTTGGCAGGTTCAGATCTCATGCTGTGTTGATTTGGTGATTGGAAGTGATTATGGAGGCTTATGCACCCTCCCTTGCTCGCCTCCACCTTTGCCTTGGATAGATTTCCTTCTTTCCCAGTGCAGTCAGTTCTTGTTGATTCTCATTAGCTTTTAAGCCTAACACTGAAGTGTAGGTGGAAGGACCACATTAGCACAGAGCATTCCCACTATCCAAACTGTGGTTTGGCAATTAGCCCAGCATGATGTCTGAAGTGGGTCTTTCTATAAAACCTTTATTTTGCTTATGCTAGAACATGCTGCCGTGTTAACAACCTTGACCTGGATGGTTTCATTTTCTTTTAGGCATATAAAGCAGTTGTTAATGACGCTACAATTTTTAAACTTGAATTACCGCTGAAGCAAAAGGGGTAAGTTATTTGAATACTTATTGGAAGTAAATGAGATTCAGTTTGATAGTGTAGCTAGTTCATTAATTAGCTCTGATTTTATAGAGTTGAAAAGGTTGCCAACTCCTGTTCTGAATGCTTAGAGCAGAATCCTGCTGTGTCAAATTCCTTCCACAATGAACCATTGTGTCATTTGTTTGACACTTGCAGAAGGAGCTATCTAGGATCCTGTTTTACAAGTGGAAACTGGGTAGCTCTTCTTTAGCTGTTCACAAGTCTTCTTTCTTAATAGAGATTGTGGTTAGCTTTAGCCCTGACAAGGACCCTTTTCAGTACTGGTGGCCACTTGCAGGCCGTTGTCAAAGTCGTATAGTTGTTCATCCAGTGGTGCTTCTGGAGTTTTATTTTTGCAGGTGATTGCATTTGCTTAATCAGACAGTTCTCAGATGGTCAAATATCTTTTAGCCAATGCAGGAGAAGAATGTGAGACATGTTATGATAGAAGCCAACTTAAATCCAGCCCTACTAAAACTCAAATATGTGCTTTTTATCTAAGACATACACAGACATCTCAGAAACCAGGTTATCTGGAAGGGTATCCAACCAGATCATTGTTCTGCCCCGAATTGTTTTAGTTGTCAAGCTGCAGAGTTGGAAGGGACACTGTGGATCATTGAATCCAGTGCCTGTCAAGAAGACAGAAAGACTCCCAACTTCTGGTTCTGCATCCAGAAACCTAAAGCACTGAGCTAGATGTATCCTTGAATCATATACTGATCTACAAGAAACACTCCCAGAACACAAAGCAACAGGTTTGTGCAAAGAACATTATTCTTTGAAAGCTATCAGGAACCAGTTAAATCACATAACAGATAAAACAGTGGCTTAAATCCTGTTGGCAGAGGTTTATCCTGCACAATCTGGTTTGTGTCATCATCTGATGATAAAAATCTTTATTTTAAATTAATTTAAGTTTTCTATTCCCCTATTCAGCTTTTAAGACTCCCTAAGGTTCTCTTTTGCTCTTAGAACATTTTTTCAGAGCCTTGGTGGGAGAAGCCTTTAATATCAGAAAACTGCTGTCAGATGACCAGTGGTGGTCTTGATCTGGTGGCAGGGCCACCTTTGCCAATTTTCTGATATTAAAAGACTTCATCCTTACCCCAGGTTTCCCAGTGACTTCCCAAGGGCAAAAATGATCCCTAGGAAGCCTTGGAACCTGAAAGGGGGGTGGGAGAGGAAGTTATAAATGATATTAAAGATTTCTTTTGATGGATGATGATATCATACAAGTTTATGGTTGTACACCATAAACTTGTGCCAGCAGAATTCAGCCACTGAGAAATGCAGACTTGGCCCAATGCTACTCTGCAGGTGAATATGCCAGACTGCTCTGGTATAGTTCATTCCCTACAAAACATACAGATGTAGCACTCAGTGAAACCTGTATCACCATTATAAAACCAAAACCTGGCAAACATTGCACTCAGTGAGAGGTAACAGGTAATAATGACTCAAAGCATCTACATCAAATGTGTATCTAGTGTTTGGCTACCATCCTACCCTTCCCAGATTAATCATCTTCACTATCTTAATAATGATCTTTAGAACTGCAGAGCTGGAAGGGACCCTATGGATCATTGAGTCCAGCCCTTGTCAAGGAGGCAAAATGGGGTATCAAACTCCCAACCTTTGGCTCTGCAGCTGGATATCTCCACTGAGTTAAGATCATTGAAAGTTTTTTCCCCCAAATGTCTGTGAATCCTGAAGAAACAGCAAAAATGCCCTGACTGTAATGTGGAAAGAAAGAACTACCTACCTCTTAAAATGGGTGAAAAGTCTAGCCTCCAGTCACACAGAAAACTGGATTACTTGGAAGTCATGTAACAGGCTACAGACTGAAGTTGGTAGAACCAAGGTGAACTTCAAAAAGTGGAGCTTTTGCCTGACACAGTTCTTTGCAAGTGTAGAGACAAACAGGCAACTTCATACCAATATCACTGTGCTTTATGAGCCTTAGACATGCACTATGGACATGCACTAGCTGCCCCAAATGCACATGATATATTGCCCATTATCAGCAACATCAAGAGCATTTGCAGTAGCTGGCATCACAGTTTCCATACTGGATGTTTGAGGGGTGCTTCTGAACAAAAAAAATCTAAATACATTAATTATGATGAAAATAGTATTGTTCCAGTTAAGAATTAATGAAAACCTTTTAAAATAAAAAGAGTTTGAAAATTCTATCAAAATTCTTCTAGCATAAGCCAGTCTGGCAAAAGCCAGCACTAGTTAGGTCAGTCACAAGTCTTCATAGTTCCAGGTTTTAGGACTTGCCGTTGATGTAGTTTCTTCTGAGGATTTTGCTTCAGTCGTTTTGTCTATATAAAATTGCCCTGCATCACCCATGGTACAGTAATTCCCATTGTGGTGTGGTGGATAGAGTGATGGATCTAGGACTCTGGAGAACTGGTTTCGAATCCCTGCTCTGCCAAGGAAACACACAACCCATGGTTGATAAGTCATATCATATTTGTATTCTTGAAAGGATTAAAAAGAAAATCCAGGTGCTTTGCCACAATATAAATGGAAGATGAAAGAGATTTCCTTCAGAGGAGTTTCATTCCTTTTCTTCCACACAATCTCTCTGTTGGTGACCTCTGTTTCCCCACTTAACGTTTTGCTAGGAATTTCAAGCACATGCAGCTGATAATTCTTTTCAGACTCTTATGCAAACACCCGTCTCTTATACATGTTGGAGTGCTTTTCTATGGATTTCTGAGTAGAGTTTTTTAAATTCATGTATGCAAATTACTATGTTCAGTTTTAATCGCATCTGTGAAAAATGTGAATGTATTGGAAGAAAAGAAAAGGCCAGCGGGGCTTTCAGATGTGTGAAAATGTTTGCTCTTACACTGTGGGAACCCACCTTCCAGTAAGTAATTTGCAATAGCCTGTACTTCTGTAATGGTGTGCAGCCTGGTGATAGAGGTTGTAGTGTCGTATTATAACAACTCCTTCTCACCTTCTTCTAGTGTTGGATTGAAAACACAGCCAGAATCCAAGTGCCCAGAGCTACTTGCTAATTATTGTGATATGTTATTGAGAAAAACGCCGCTAAGCAAAAAACTAACCTCTGAAGAAATTGAAGCAAAGCTTAAAGAAGTGGTATGTTGTTGTGTTCTTTCTACCTTTTTATTGGAGAGGGGGGGAAATTACAGTTGAGGTTTCTTTCTCACCACCCTGCCTTCAGAAACAGCAGCTTACTACTGTGTAAGTTTTAAGTGAGGATTAATGGGAAAAGGTGGCCAACAGGTTTAGAGTTCATTGCTACATTGGTTCAGTCCTTGACACAGTTGCTGAAATGGGGAGATTGTGGCTGTGTCGGTTGCAATCAGTTTAGCTGATTGGTTTATTATATATGCATAATAGTGCAGCCCTATACATGTCTACTAAGAAATAAGTCCCAATGAATTCAGTGATATTTGCATGGAAGAAAGGAAGTATCAAATTGGCACCCTTATTAGTATTTTTCATTTAATTTGAGGAACTCATAACTATCAAGTTTTTTTTTTCATATTGCTAGGATTTAATTTATTCTAAACCAATTAAATTGCTTTTGTTCCTAACAACTGTTAGCTGTAGTCAGATATAGTAGAAAGCAGTTTTATGGCTGCTGACCTAAGACTTTATGGCTGCCATGACAGGATTGTGAGTTCCATTGTATCCCAATAGTTTTTCTTTTATCCTATGTTTTTGGACCGTGATACCAATAAAGTCTATTTTTATGTTAGATTATATTCATTTTAAACAACTGTTACATTTTTATTTCTATTCCAGACTTTAAAGGGCTCTCTTGTTCACTAGTAGCAGTTTGCCAAAAGAAGTGATAAATTAGGCTACCTTGAATGTCAAATCTTTTCCTATTGTTGACAAGATTCCCATGTCTCAAGGATTAGGGGACAGGATTTATTATATTTGGCACCTTTTATTTTATAGGAATGATTAGTTCATATTATATGCTATCATATTTTACAGTACAAATGTACAGTAGTACCTCGACTTAAGAACTTAATCCGTATTGGGACTGCGTTCTTAAGTCGAAACGTTCTTAAGTTGAAGCACCATTTCCCATAGAAATGCATTGAAAACCGATCGCATTTCGAGGGAAGAGAAAATCCATAAAGGCAAGGGGAAAGGGCTGCAGAAGCACCATTCTTGCCCTTTTCCCCTGCCTTTTTGCCTCTGGAGGTCTCCAAGGGCTTTCCCCCCGACATCAGAGGAAGCCCTTTGAGACCTCTGAAAGCAAAAAGGCAGGGGAAAAGGGCAGGAAATTTGAATTTCCCACCCTTTTACCCCTCCCTTTTGTTTGTAGGTCGAGGCTCCGTTTGCAAGTCAATGCCAATTTTTGCGAATGGAGCCATTCATAAGTCGAAATGTTCATAGATAGGGACGTTCATAAGTTGAGGTCACACTGTACTGCAAAATATGCAGTACTTTTGCTAACTAAGTACTTTTGCTAACTAAGATGTAGTCGTGTTCAAAATGGGAAGACACAAAAGTTTTTAAGTTAAAAGTGAAGTGGTATGTTATTAAAATTGTTTGTTCCTCGGTGATACTTAGACAAGAAATTCATTGAAATGCTTAGCAGTTTCCTAGGGTATGTCATTCCCCAACGAGATGCATTTTAGAACATAAGCTATCCACTTCCTGGCGCTTTTATGCGATAACAGTTGAGATTCACGACAGTCACCAAAACTTATATGTTTTTAAAAAACAGTTATTGGTACTCAAGTACGTGCAAAACAAAGATGTCTTCATGAGATACCACAAAGCTCATTTAACAAGACGTCTTATACTGGATATATCAGCAGATAGTGAAATAGAAGAAAACATGGTGGAATGGTTGAGGGTAAGTACACTGTGTTTTCACTACCTTGGAAAGCAAATGCTTGAATCAAACATCAAACTGTTCTAATTATAAATTTATCTTGTAGGACCTTTTCACCAGTCTGCAAATAGAGGTTTTGTTTTCAAAAAGACTATTTTTAAAAGTGACTGTTTGAGTTTATATAGTAAAAAATTTATTATGGTCCTGTTTCATAATACATTTGCATTGGATATTTAGTAGGGATCAGAATTTGGCCTGAATCCCGTGTAATGCTAGAAGGCTGAAAATACCACTGGATTGCATTGTTGTACAGGCAGCTGCACAAATTAGTGGGTGCTACACCCTTGTGCTAACTCTGAAAGTGTACATCTTTTACTGTAGCGAACCTTTTACAAAACATTACTAAATGACATTACTGGACGAAGGCCTAAGCCATGGAACTCATGATTTTACTTAGATTAAATAAAATCTATAGTACGGTATGATAATGATTTGTATAGAGGTTAAATAACTGGTGGCACTTTGCTTTGGCCTCAGTCCCTGCCGCTCCACCCCATACCACACTGTATATGAGGAAATGGTTCTGGATCCTGCTCCCAGCCTTCAGCCAGACTCTCTTCAGGCTTTGTTGATAATGCATAACGGGGTAGAGATACGCCCAGCCCCAAGTGCTTCAGACAGGAAACGTTTATCATCAGTTGGTATAATTGTGCATAACTGAATTTCTCGGACTTGGTGTATTGGATTTGCAGAATTAATCACTGGGATGTTTACTATATTGAAGATTGTGTATGTCTATTCCACTCCACTTGAAGACCTAGTTTTCCATAGCCACTGCTTTTAAGGTCATTAAGTGTAGTTTTTAACTGCTATTAGACCTTTTGTTCCAATTATAACTGGGGATGGAATGAGGGGAGAGAAGATGCTAGTTGCTGTAAAGATCCTGTTATCTAGATTTAATTTGTCTTGTCTTTATGCAGGAAGTAGGTATGCCAGCTGATTATGTAAATAAGTTGGCAAGAATGTTCCAGGATATTAAAGTTTCTGAAGATTTGAACCAAGCCTTTAAGGAAATGCACAAAAATAATAAGTTGGCCCTACCAGGTATTTTTCCTTTTTTCATGTATATTCTATGTCTTTTCCTTAACTCCAGCATGAAAATACACTGTCAGTTTCTTTCTTTCTTTCTTTCTTTCTTTCTTTCTTTCTTTCTTTCTTTCTTTCTTTCTTTCTTTCTTTCTTTCTTTCTTTCTGTTTGGCTTAACATTTCAAATTTGTTTCTGCTGTCATCTTGTACTGACTTACTTGGCTTCAGTATCATTTGGTTGTTCTTGTTTTTTCCTCTTTATACAGCCGATTCTGTGAATATTAAAATTTTAAATGCTGGAGCTTGGTCCAGAAGTTCTGAAAAAGTTTTTGTATCACTGCCCACGGAATTAGAAGACCTCATCCCTGAGGTAGAGGAGTTCTACAAAAAGAATCACAGTGGCAGGAAGCTTCACTGGCATCACCTTATGTCCAATGGCATTGTATGTATGCATATGCTACTCACTTCAGCTTTGTAATTTTTTTAACTATATACTTAGTCTCATTGACTTGGAAATAGGTTTTTGCACAGGTAAAGGTCATGGATAATTTTTGGTCCCATTGACAGATAACTTTTAAGAATGAAGTTGGCCAATACGACTTGGAAGTAACAACGTTTCAGCTGGCTGTGCTTTTTGCATGGAACCAAAGACCCCGTGAGAAGATCAGCTTTGAAAATCTTAAATTGGCAACAGAACTCCCTGATGCTGAACTTAGGAGAACTTTGTGGGTATGTCTCCAGCTTTCAAAAAATGTTTGTTATAGAATCATGAAAATAAGATTTTGAAACTTTGATACTTTTGTAGGAAAGCACAATTTTAATTCTATTGTCTTTTTTTAAATGAAAGTTGTAATCATTGAAATACAATATGCAGAGTGAAAAAGAGGAGAGTAAAAGTTATCTGTTCTTGAAAATTATTATGTTAGTCTTAAAGTGAAAACATTTAAAGTTGGGTTATGTTTTACATAAATGTAAGTATCTGTGAAGATTCTCAGTCCTTCAGATGAGGTTATCTGGAAGTTGAGTCATGACAGCTGGACTTCTTGTTAGGTTGAAACCTTTCACTACTTATCCAAGACACTTCTTTCAAGTAGCGAAATGTTTCAACCTAGTAAGAAGTCGAGTTGCTATGACCCAACTTCCAAATAAATGTTACTGTATTTTTCGCTCCATAAGATGCACTTCCCCCCTCTCCCCCCAAAAAAACTGGGGAGGAGTGTGTGCATCTTATGGACTGAATACTGTAAAAAATGGTGCAATTTGTGGACATTAACAGACCTCCCCAGAGCCCATGCCACTGTCATACGTGACTGAGTTCTGTACTCCTCCCCCCAAGTCTTTTTTTACCCTCCCGACCCCAACAGCAAGCCCAACAGCATGTCCCAGTTCAGTACTCCTCCCCCCAAGTCTTTTTTTACCCTCCCAACCCCAACAGCAAGCCCAACAGCATGCCCCAGGAATCTTCTTTGGCTTCCCACTGCCAGCAACGAAAGCTCGACTCCGCAGGGAAAGAGGTGAGCTCCACCTCCTGTCTTCCATGCTGCCACCTCCGGCTTCCCCCTCACCCTCCCCCCAAGTCTTTTTTTACCCTCCCAACCCCAACAGCAAGCCCAACAGCATGCCCCAGGAATCTTCTTTGGCTTCCCACTGCCAGCAACGAAAGCTCGACTCCGCAGGGAAAGAGGTGAGCTCCACCTCCTGTCTTCCATGCTGCCACCTCCGGCTTCCCCCTCACGGAAAGAGGTGAGCTCCGCCTCCTGTCTTCCATGCTGCCACCTCCGGCTTCCCCTTCTCACACCTGCCGCCAATATTGGTTTGTTCAGCACCGGGCCGAGCCCCTGCCATCACCATCATGCCACCCTTCTCCTCCCCTTCTGCGGCAGGGCCTAGGAGCGCTTCTGGACCACAAGCGGTGAACTGACAAGTCCCATAGAGATGATGATCTGGCTGGGGCGGTAAGGGAGCTGGCGGCTCCCTACCCCTGATGCCTTAGCAGTTGTAGGTGCATGCATGAAGACAGAATGTACCATTCTCTGAAAGGGGAGTGGAATTTTACTTCCAGCACTCTTCCAGTTGTAGGTGCATGCATGAAGACAGAACGTACCATTCTCTGAAAGGGGAGTGGAGTTTTACTTCCAGCACTCTTCGTGGGAACCATTCCTTGTACTGGAGGGGAGAGGAGGGAGATCGCAGGTAGTTACCGTAACTGCGTCTTATGGTCAGGTGTGTCTTATAGAGGGGAAAAATACAGTAAGTAATTTGTGCTCTCCCTTGGCCCACGTTTTGCAGGAAGATGACAAGCCATACTTATTTACTTGGTAAAACCACCACTTTTTACTTTTTTTCCAATCCTACCCCCCTCCAACCCACCCCAAATGAAATGCGGAAGAAACATTTTGGTTGTGGAGAATCCGTCTCCAACCTAGTGACCAGGAGATGTGATAAAATAGGTCAGGCCCTAAAAGGTTTTTGACTGGGGAATTACAGTTTATGTGCAGAGCAGGCAAAAGCACTGATACAGACTTGATTGATTTTAAGAATTTAAGGGTTATTATATCAAGAAAGAATACAAGACAGTGTAGGAATCAGGCTATGAGCAGAACAGGACTCTTTTCCTGCTACTGTAAACAAAATCACATGAGTTGCAGACATGGCTCTAAAATAAAAACAAATAAGGCTAAAATCCCTCACATGTCCAGCTTATGTGGGTTCTTAAATTACTCATGATTATAAAGCCCTCTTCTTGGTTCTTCATGATCTGCCATTACAGTGTAGTGGGAATCCAGCTGTCCAGACATTTTCTCTAGAACAAAAATTTTCCCCATGATGCTGTTTTAAAGATCCCAGATGAACTTAATTGGCTAATGCTACTGAGTCATCACTTAACATTACTGTCTAGCTCACCCCATTGCATTAGCCCTTTTCTAACGGTGAGTCAACTTGTAACTGAAGAACAGGTAAGTTTGTAATGCTGCAGAATGATAAGGCTGCATCTCTAGTGTGCACTTGAGATATTTTGTACCCACCTTTAAGAATACAGTCCTCACAAGACAGTTTGGGGGTTAAATATAAAAATATGTGGATTGTGTTTATCCTTATAACTTATTATAGCTTATTCTGTCTGGCGGAACCTCCTTGGGGTTTCAGGCAGTGATGTTTCTCATCACCTTTTGCCTGGTGCTTCATCTTTCTGTAATGGATTTTAAAATAACATGATTATAATTACAGAATGTTGAAGCAGTCTCTAGTAACCAGAATTACAACAGTTGTTCCACTCTTGCATTGCACAGCTATTCCTCTTAATTATACTGGTGTAGCACAATTGACATAACTTTAGAAGAGAATTGGTCCATTAATATTAGATTAATAATCTGATTAATATTAACTATGGTCTGTTTCAAAAAGTCAGCATCATACATGGTTTATGAGTTATTTCATTTAAACAGACCATTGTATTAACTACATTTCTGTCAGTTTGGACAAAATGCTAAAGTATGCATACTAAATCAGCTTTCCTCACCTTCAAGCTATACTGGCTTAGATATTCTAATAGCTGTAGTCTGGTATGTGGTAGAGCACCAGTTTGGGGAAGGCTGCAGTAATATCTAGTGCAGGGATTGGATGCCCCACAGGCTGCTTCTGACTTCTCAAGGCTGTTTTTTTGCAGCCTCCAACACCCGATGTCACCCTCATTGGAAAAAAGGGGGAGTCAGGCCCCCAGAGAATACAATTCTGCCAAGTTTCCATCCCCAGATAATTTTTTTGAAACTAGAAGTGACCTCTGCTGCTCACCTATGTTTTTCTAGAAAGGGCTGGTGCAACCCAGGTGGAAGAGGCTGCTGGGCTCTCTAAATTCTCCTAGCATGGTTTAGCGTGATGTGAATACAGTGGTGCCCCGCAAGACTATGTTAATTCATGCCATTGAAATCACTGTCTTGTGAAAACATCATCTTGCTAAAAGCGTTTCCTCATTGGAATGCATTGAAACCCGTTTAATGCCTTCCAATGGGGAAAAATTGTCGTTGTCCAGCGAAAATTGCCCATGGGAAGCTGCTTGCAAAGCGCCGATCAGCTGTTTTAAATCACTGTCTTGCAAAAAATGGGCCCGAAAACACCCGTTTTGCGAAGATCGCCCCTAGGGAAACCATTTTGCGAAGCCGATGATCAGCTGTGAAAATCATCGTCTTACGAAAAAACGGTCCTCAAAGCACGAACCAAATCGTAGTCCAGCGAAATTCCCCCATAGGAACCACTGTTTTCCGAAGCAAAATGGCGGTTGCAAAACCTCATCGTTGTGCGGATTTGTCGTTTTGAGGGGTAATCGTCTTGTGAGGTACCACTGTACAGCCTTTTTTGTGTATCATTTTTTGTTTGATAAGCCTGTTAAAAATAATTGGGGGCAGGTGAAACCATAGGGTTTGGAGGTTTTTTTAACTTAAAGTTTTCCAAAACTAATGTTGGTTTATATTTTACAGAAGTATGTAATTAGGGGGTTACTGTTTTAATAACTAACTGGTTAAAACAAAGCACCCCAAATTAAAAGGAATACATTGAATTATAGACTGCTTTGTGAATATAAATGTGATTGAAAACTGCCATCCTAATTTCTATCTGACAACTTAATTTCGTGGTTCTTTCATCTTTTCTTCTTATTAGTCTCTTGTAGCATTTCCAAAGTTGAAACGTCAGGTTTTGTTATATGAACCTCAAGTCAATTCACCCAAAGACTTCACTGAAGGAACCCTCTTCTCAGTGAACCAGGAGTTCAGCTTAATGTAAGATGTAACATTGATTTATTCTGTGAACATTTTATAGAGCACAAAAGACACATTTCTATATTTAGTGGCTTAGCTGTTCTAAAGTTCATTTTTGAAAATACATCAGACTGGAATTTTAACATACAGATCAATTTTTTTGTATTCAACTTCATTTCTAAGTTGTTCTGAGTTGTTTGTTTTCAACATATAAGTTGTTGTCAAGTATAACTGATAGTAAATATTCAGCACTTGGCCTTTTATGTTCAAATGTTCTCCCTTAGTATATATTCCATTTATAGTTTGAGAAAACCACAGATGTTTTCATTCTTGAAGGTTTCCATTATTGTTTTGTGAAAAATACTTCACTGTATCCCTTTTAGAGGTCCAGAAAGTAATTTTGGATTTGTCTTTAAACTGAGAAGTTTCCCAAATTCTTACACTATAGCTTCCTTTGAGGCAAGTTGGAACTGATTTTATTTGTAGCAAAGAAAATGGGATGGGCCAGGATTGTCTGAATTATAATTTTTTGTTAGGAGATAGAAGATGCCTAGGTGAGATTCCCAAGGTGTGTCCAGGTAGATCCTATCCTTTACATATTTAGGAAATATTTTCATAAGTTTGAAATTCTTTAGGAAATTCTTTCATTAGGTTGAAATTCTTTCTTCAGGCATGTCTTTACAGTGAGAATGGTGAAGCATAGGAAAGTGGTGGTAGGCGAGTGCAAACAACTTGAATAAGGCTGATATGAGCTAGCAAAAGTGAGGAGGGATACAGTGGCTTTGATATGACTGCTTGATGGTTGTTAAGGTAAAAGCAGCAGCAGTAGGACAAACTGGGTTAGTTGTGTTGATATGAAGGAGAGACTGTAAGGCCTAATCTAGTTTAAAGTTAGTGATGGAAAACTGTGTGCTTATGAAATTCCACCGGTTCCCTAGTTATGCAGGTGACAGTATGTTTATTCTTGTGGTCCCTGTTCAAGCAGTTCTGCAGTGGATTTCACTGCTCCCTCTCTGTGCATAGTCCATTACTCAAGACCAAAAGGTTTTTCTATGAATTTCTTTTCCATCTCATTAAGATGATGAAATTGCGTCTCAGTAACTCACCTTGTAGTGTGAAGGATAGGGACGTGCAGAATAGTTCGAGGTGTAACATATTATTCCTCCTCAAACTCTTCCTCTGGGGGATCTCCCTCTTTTTGTAACAGGCCAGAGTGTTGGCTTGTTGGATTTGCTTCCAAATGCCACATTTGTTCAGCAACAATCCTTTTTTTAAAAAAAATCTCCCTATTACTGTTACACAATTACCATGTGTGTTTTGGTGTGGCAGATGAAGAAGAGCAAGTTCTCTCTTTGTCTGAATTTCACTTTTGCAGTGAAGGAATTAGACAGCCATAGGCAAGCCACACAACCCATTTATTTACATGAGTATCTTATAACAAAAGATCTCTGCTTTTGTTATAGGGTACTACCCTATAACAAAAGATCTGCTGCCCTATAACAAAAGATCTCTGGTCATCTTATCATTTGAAGAAAATTATATCAGTATGTTTTACAAGGTGGTTTATGAGAACTCTTGGCTAGCTATCTAAAAACATCAACAACTTGAATTTAAAAGGTAAAAATTCAGTCCTGTGTATTGGCATTCAGAAGCATCTTCATCTGAGTTCCTTGAAAGCTACGTGCCAGTGAGGGCTAGGAAGTATAAGGGTAATTTCCCCCTTTTTCTCTCTCTTTTGCTTCATCTCTTGTTTGATTCTTTCAGAAAAAATGCTAAAGTTCAAAAGAGAGGAAAAATAAACCTAATTGGTAGACTACAACTAACAACGGAGAGAATGCGGGAAGAAGAGAATGAAGGGATAGTCCAGCTAAGAATATTACGAACCCAGGTATGTTAACAATTGACAATAATATGCTGGTTTGAAGCATTTTCCCAATTGCATCAATTAAGTGATCTGTTTTTAAATGATTATGGCTTAACAGATGTCATCTGTGGGTAGCTTCTTAAAAGATTTGGAGTGTCTTGTTGCCTGACAATTTCCCTTGTTGCTTCACAGTGTATCTAATTACAGTATATGACACAGAGACTGACATTGTAGGATGTGAGGATTCTATTTAATTGACTTTTGTGACCAAAGAGCTCCATAGTGTAGGCTGGTGAAGTCTGGTTTGACTACTGAATTAGCAAGGTACAATTCTGCAAAGGGGAAGATCAGCAGAGAACCATTAGGGGATTTGAGGAGATTTTAGTACATTCAGTATTGGATTGGGAGCGAATTTCAAACTGTTGTAGACTGATCACCAGAGATTTGGGTAGTTCAGTGGAATCATGAATTGTGATGTTTTTGTGCAGAATTAATGCTCTTCATTGCCACTACTGCAATAGGCTAATAGTAATAGTAATGAAATAAAAACAGCTTGCCTTTATTTCTTGTTCAAAATTAGCAAAAATCTCTGTCTGTTATGGCATAAATCCTAGCCTTGTCAGTTTGTCTACAGCTACCCAAAGATATGTCTTATTTCCTTCCATTTCTCTAGTCCTGTCCCATATGGTTATATATAGATGTTTGTGAACTTCTATTTCACACATGTTATCCATATGATGTTGAACCCCTCATCCCAAAACTCATAAGAGTCCACTATTCTGAGGGAATGATTGAACAAACTCAGCGGTGATAAGATTGATCCCTCTTCCTTCAACTGAAAATTCATATATTGTGCTTTCTTTTGTGTTCATAATGTATGAAACAGATAGTTTATGTTTCAAGTTTCTAGCTGATTGTATCAAGCAAATCAAAAAACAAAAGCCCCCTGCCTTTACTCACATCACTGTAGCTTCCAAAATATAGTAGGCTTGTATTATGGAAGAATGAAACAAGAACCCCATTGACCATGATTTGCCTCTGCAATTGCTACTTTTCATACAGTTCTGTTTGCATAAATTAAAAGATGCCATTCAGTGTAGGCGGCTGTTATTAAGGATGCAATTTTCAGATTTATTGGCTATATCTCAATTCTCCACTCTGGGATTTCTACTCAATCAGATAGACATCTAAATATGGCTTACCTGGGAGAAAGGCTTCCACTGGAAAGCTGAGACTTTATATTTCTAGTTGCTAAAACATATGATTCCAGTTTACAAAATACTTGAGTCCTGACATGTAATACAAACTGTTGCTTATGAAGTTGGCTGTATGGTTTCTTTGTCAATCATTGTTTAAAATTTGCTTTGCTAGTTTTCAACAATATATATTTAAAAGTACTTTGTCCTTCCTTCTTTTCCCCTTGCTTAGGAGGCTATCATCCAAATAATGAAAATGAGAAAGAAAATCACTAACGCTCAACTTCAGACTGAACTAGTAGAGATATTGAAAAACATGTTTTTGCCACAGAAGAAAATGATAAAAGAGCAGATTGAATGGCTTATAGAACACAAATATATCAGAAGAGATGAATCAGATATCAACACATTTATATACATGGCATAGCATGAAGACTGTTATAGGAAGATGTCAAGAAATGTGCAGTGAAGGTGATGTGGGCAGACAAAAAGACAAGAAAGGGGAACTGTGCCGAAGAAGGACTTGTTTGACTTGCATTACGTATTTGAATCCTTGCCTTACCTTACAGAGGACTTTTGTTTTGCCAACCTTTTTTTTCAGCTAGCATGATGACATTCCCTTCATGTTGCACACTTTTAATGGCATGCTGTTTTTGTGCGGAAACTTGCATTCTTGGAGAGCCTATAGTGAGATGTTTTAGGTTTGATTTGCACCCACCTGGAGGAGAACAGATTTGAAATTTTTAGATGAACTGTACTTGCACAAGGAAAAATATCTTCAAATATCCATGCACTGAGGATCTACTGTTAGTTTTCATATTTTTAAAAAAGCAAATAGGACTAGATGTAGCACTTCACATTTTGTGTTTTGAATCAACAGCTTAAATGTGCTGTCCTCATTCTGATCCCTTTTTATGTATAATATCTGAGTGAGACACAAACACATCGCAGCTGAAGATATATATTTATCTGTTGGCTCAAACAATTGTTTCAATATAATGACTGGTTTTGAATACTGAAACATAAGTGATATTAAGTAGGATTATTGACTTTGTTACTTTTCTTTACAAATTTGGGCAAACATTTGTTAATTTAACAGGTTTGTTTCAATCCTCTGCTTTTTCAAGAAAAGGTGTTGCTTCACCTTTCAGAACTGTTTTTCATGCGGATTTGTCGTTTTGAGGGTGAAATATTTGGTGAAACAAAATGAAATATTAAGTGTATTTCTTTGTACATTTAATATTTGTATTCACTGTCTTGGTATGCTTGCATTAAATATTGCCAGTGTACAAATCTTCGAGAATAGAAATCAACATTTTGACAATCCCTATATTTTCTTTTGATTATTTATTTGAAAATATCTAATGTTACATTTTTAAATACAGTTCGACTCTGGAAAAACAAATCTGACTGTGTGGAAAAAGACCATTCTTTAGCCTACTTTAGATCATCTTGCTGTTGCATACTTTTGAGAGGTTGACACAAATCTTAACAGCCTGTTCAACCCAAAACTGCTACAGCCAACCTCCACGTTCTCAACTGGAATGTGTAGGAGTCCTTGTTAGAATGTGCCCATCCCATCTCCCCTTTAGAAGACTGTGGCTCAGACTTTAAAAAGCAAAGGAAGAGATACAAAGACATAACATCTGCCATTACTGAGGGGGAGGAAACTGACACATTACTTATTTTTAAAATGTTAATGGCCATGTCTTTCATCTGTTCCTAAATAACTGTGAAGTTGGTATGATATCCAGCTGCTTGGAAATACCCATCACAAGCTGGATTCCTGTAGCCTCAGTGCTTCCCAGGTTTAACCTTAATTAAGAAAAATTAGCTCAAGTTTTATTGCCTGATTACCACTGCTGTGCAAGAGAAAGACTTCATAAAGCTAGTTTTGACATTTTAGCAGCCAGATCAAATGCCTTTCCTTTTGGTAATTAGTCCTCATGCATACTAATTGTATCCATTGCTCCTTATTGGTTGAAAAGTGAGATTAAGAGAGATTGTTATGTGAGTAAATGAATTTGGTAGGTGTCTCTATTCTACAGCAGACATTTAGCATCTTTGCACACACACAGTTTGGTCATGTGTTAACATGCTAGCTTCAAAATACATGTATGGGAGTAACACAGGGCGTGCTCTAATATGCCAGAGAACAAGAAGTCTCCACAGATATGAAAACAGCCATTTAAAATTCTCAGTTTCTGTTATCGTGTGCATTTTCTATTACATGTAGAAGAAAGGATATTTTTTTAAAAAATATTCACTTCATGTTTAACACAGAATTGCAGATTTTCAGCCTGAAATATTTGTCGATAAGAGTTTTAAAAAATTCTACATGCATATTAAACATTCACTGTATGTGAAAGGAAAGAAAACTACAGTTGGTTTCAAAAAGTCATTTGTACATGCTTCAGGATTTCTAGAATTCTGCATTTGATTTGGGAAGGTCATTTAGAAATTAATATTAAAACAGATTTTTTTTTCCATAAATGTATGGACACATACATTTTAAATATCCTGATTGATTGTGCTTTCAAATGGTATGCTTCCTGTTAAAGGTGTTGTGGAGGGAAACAGCATGACATATTGGCTGATACCCAGCAGTAAGTAGCGAGTAGAGTAGGCCCACTGAATCAACAGAATTTATAGAAGAGTTCACTGATCAGATCCCCACCACTACTCTAGACTGAAACAACCTGACTACTGGATTTTAGCCATAAATATAAAATGGGCTCTACTCTTCATATTTAACTTCTTAGTATTACCACTTAGTATTGCCAAATGTTAGCCACTTACTGTACTTTCACAAACATTTCTTTTTCATTTCTTAATGGTGCATATAGTAGTAAGTGGAAAGGATTCAAACATGGCTATCCATGAACTTCCATTTCTGACTATTCAGGACTACAGCATCCCGCCACCCAAACAGCTCCTTTTGTCTTACAGCAAGAGAGGCAGAAGTGGGCTCAAATTTGAAGGAAAAAATGCCAAAAAGAGAAAAATTCGCCCAAAATAAACATGCATTTATGGAAGCACTTTAAGAATACACATGGGGCTGTCTAGATCTTGCCAATGAGAGCATGTCTTGTTCAGTCACATAGAACATACAGTGCTCATTGTGTGTCCTATCAAGGTTATTTCATTACATAAGTTACCTAAATGTGCTTAGAGCCAGAGGAATTATAATGGACAATGTGCCTATAACAGGGTTCGGTTCTCTTTTCTTTTTGTTTGTGTACATATGTTGGAATGGTAAACCACTGAAATCTGAAATCACACCAGCAATTTCCTTACAGCTGCAGAATCACATTTAGCATTCTTTGTCAGGACACTTTCACCAAGATGCCCTTAAGGCTATCAGGAACGGAAAAATATATTAAAAAGGAGGCAGAAATAGGAAAACATCCAAATTGAGGATGAATAGTCATTGCAATATGGTAACATGGCACTTTGGATCTTTTCCTCCAGAGAGCTAGCATAAAGAGGTGCTGCTTCTTTAAAAAAGAAAGGATGTTGCCACAATAATTGTTATTGTGGTCTGTATTATGGAATACTCTGGATGTGAAAATAATGTAGGTTGCATTGATTTTAAACAGTTATAAAAATGCTTTGCCACCACAAATGAGACTCACATTTAATTTTTGAAGTCTTCCATTTCTTCCCACTTGTTTTCTATCTATTTGTTTAAAACTCTCCTCAGAGTATAGTGTAATGAAACTTAATTTTTAGTGGTGGCTTTCCCCCCTCGTTTTTAAAAAAGTAATGTGACTTAAGTAGTCAAACACTTTGGATTTATTTGCATTGCTCTATTGTAAAAGGTACAATTTTCCAAATACAGTTGAGAGAAATATTTGATAGCTTCATGGAAAGATTTAGAATCTTTAATGCAAACCTATTTTCTATCTTCATGGAACTGGTGGGGATGCTAACTTTGTAAATTCAAGGTCCTCTTTGTGAAATAAATCCGTATTGAGAGCTTTCCTGTTAATAGACGATATGTACCCTGGAGTGCAGCGCAAACTTGAGTTTCCTAGGTTGTAATATCTGTCAACATATGGTTATTTACAGTTTTGAATGTGTGCCACTACATACTGAGATAATGCTGTACAATTTGACTGGTAGCAGTTTTTTTCTTGTATGGCAGTCTGGCTGAACTATTTTGATGTACTGCTTAATTTTTGGATTTTATTTTTTAAGTTGTATAATTTATTTTCTTGCAAAATAAAAATGTAATATAAAATATTATTTAAAAAAACATTTTGGTGTTCTCTACAGAGCCCTTCATAAATTATTATAAAGTGATTTATAACAATTGAGGAATCTCAATGTTTGTAAAATCCAAGACCCAAGGTAACCCCAGATAAGAGGGCATAGCCTTATCTACATAAGAAGTTACATCGTCTGAGCATCATGATGGAAATGTATACAAAACCTGCTTATCCAACTGTGTTTAATTTTTCAACTAATTTGACCAGATGGCTACATTTCAGTTTTACATTTTTTTCAGATCTTTTAATTTTTATTGTATGGGTATGTCAAGTTTCACCATCACCTTTTAAAGAGACAATATCGTGCAGTGGATAGAGTCAAATAGGTTTGTATTCCAACTTGGCCATGAAAACCCGGGGGAGGGGGGCCATGATGGCAATGGCAAAACTAATCCTTAAATGTCTTATCTACCATGAAAACCCTACTAGTGCTGGCATAGGTGGTTTATATACTGTATATTGTTAGGTGCCATCAAATCACACCCAATCTATGGAAAACAACAACTCTGGCCAATAGTTAAACTAGCTTTTTGCTTTTCGGTCACAGTGTAACCTAAATAGAAATGCTGTAATACTAGAGTTTTTCCTGTTTGAAGTAGCACCGTTGTTTTTAACTATAGTTTTGCAAGCTTGCTAAAATAATATTTACATAGCTTCTACAGTACTTCACTATAAACTACACATACATAGAACTTTGATTTTATTACCCAATCCTCTTTTACAACCTATAGTATGCTCATAGGATTTTGCTGTTATCTTTTAAGCAACAGAACTGGTAGCTGTTCTACAGCAAACATGGATAATTTTTGCTGATAACTCCAGTGGGCTTTGAAACAATCCCTCTGCATCCAGAGGGCTAGTTATAACATCATTTTTAGTGCACACTAATCTAATAGCAATAAAGATTATAACATCATTTTTAGTGCACACTAATAGCAATAAAGATTGTTTGTTTGTTTGTTTAACTTATATGCTGCCCACACTACCCAAAGGTCTCTGGGAGGCTTACAACAATTAAAATACAGTAAAAAGATAAAATAATTAAAATATATACTCTAAAAATTGCCATCAGGACTCACAGTTGATATTATTTCAATTAAAAGCCTTCTGGAACAGGAAGATTTTGACCTGGCGTCAAAATGTCAGCATCGGTGCCAGATGAATCTCAATTGGGATGCCATTCCATAGTCTGGGGGCAGCTGCCGAAAAGGCCTTTTGTCTACAAGCCATCTCTCTTACCTCCTTACCGCTCTTTCAGAAGGGCCCCCTGGCTAGATCTTAACTGCCAGGTAGGTTCATATGGAAGGAGGAAGTCCTTCAGGTATCCAGGGCCCAAGCCGTTTAGGGCTTTAAATGTCAAAACAAGCACTTTGAATTGGGCCTGGGCAGCAACTGGTAGCCAATGTAATTTAA